CCTTTGGGGTTCCAACTCAAAACAAAATCAAGAGTCAACATATCTTCAAAAGACTTTCAATGGTAAAGGTCTGTGATTTATAGGTCACCTTCCAATGTTTCTCTGCCAGAGGTATTCTATAGGTCTTCAGAACTACTTTACCACCAGGATCACTTGCAAGACACATTCAAGAGTATCTGGTAAGATATGTATATGCAGGGAGAACATGGCACTTAAGGGCAAGGCACAGCCACACATCTCCTGCTAAATGATGCAAGTAACAATGTGGGCTAGGACCAGAACACCTTAGGAAGTGCTGCATTTAGTGCTGAAAGGAACCATAAAGGATGTGGGCACAAATGCTAGTAACAGCTATTGCTTAAGTAAGCTAGGAACAGATGTTATATCAACAAGGAAACAGTAACAGCAAAATAATCAATTTTGTAAATAAGAGAAAAAGGGTTTTTGCAAGCAAGGGTTGCCTCTACTTACTTCTCTCACACAAGGTGGTGAGCATTTTGAGAGCCAGATCTGTGACTTTATCCTTTATGTCCATCACCAGGCCTGCTATACAGCAAGCAGTGAGTGAATGCTAAATGAGTGCATGGGGAATTTTTTTTTTTTTTTTACAAAAAAACAGGTCTACAACATTTTGTATGAAACTCTTGAGATGAGATGTTCCAAAATAACTTTTCAGATTTTAGAGAAGGAATAATGATGTATATTATATAACATTCCAATGTGATGTGCCAGGGTCTGAACAGCACCTCATAACCAAACATACTACAGCAGATATACACATAATCATACTTTGGGTAAATTAAGACTATAAATGGCCACACATCAGATTTTACTGCCAAATTTGTCACCAACCTCCACATTTCAGAATTGTAGTTAAAGGATTTCTAAAGATGAAAAACTCAAGAAAAGATTGCTAGTATTCATTTATTTACTGGGAAAACTATTGTTAGTAGAGCTTACAGTCTACATGGAGTTCACAGAAAAGTTTAATTGCTACTAAGGTCGTTGAAGAAAAGGACTTGGAACATTGCTCAGAAGAAACTATGCAGAGTAAAGTATGGAAATTTAAAAATAATAGAGAACAGGTTAAGATACAGATATATTAATAAAGTGTAACTGGAATCCTGGAGAGGGAGCTTGTCATCTACAAGGGAAAGCAAGTTTGTAATCAGTTAAGTTACAACTCAAGGTGATAAGGCCCCAAAAAGAAATGGCAAAGCATTGGGAAAATACATAGAAATCTATCTGGGAGTAAATGGGAAGACTAAGCTCATTGTGAAGAATGGTAAGTCTACCCAGACGGAAATTCAGACAAAGGAAATAAGATGAGCAGGAAGCCATGATGGTGTAAAAGAGCAATTGGTGTCAGGTCACCTGCTGCAATTTCAGTATGAGTATATGAACACCTGAATCTTTGTCAGAATTCCTGTATTACCTATGAGATCTAACCATATAATTCAAGCTTTCCAATAAATAAATTAGAGGGAAGAAATCTACCTTATTGCAAATGATAATGCTTATGCTTCAGACACTCATCTGAGAGAACACAACGTGAGGAAATCCACTAGGGCAGTAGTTTTCAAAGTGTGGTCTCCTTACTAGCATCAGCGTCACCTGGACACAGGCTAGAAATTCAAATTCCTGGGCTTCACTCCAGAAACTCTGGAGATGGGGCCCAGAAATCTTTTAACAAGCTTTTCAAGTGATTCTGATACATGCTAAGTTTGGTAACCCATAATCCAAAACAAACCCTTCTCACAGTGTAATTCTCAGACAATTGCTTAGAATTTGTTACAAATTACATCTCCTGTGAACCAGTCCAAACCACCTGAAGCAGAATCTGCACTGGAGTCCAGATGTGCACCTCTCATAAGCACTTCCTGTGATTCTGATGTTTCTGATTCCAAATTTCAAATGCCACTACATTAGATTACAAATACCTTAAGGACTGTGTTGTTTGTTCACAGTTCAAATTGTTTCTAATAGCTGGGTCATAACAGACATTCAGTTAATGTTTTTGACTGATTAGCTAGCTCTGCATCAACTTGCACACCACTACAGCCACTGACAAGGCTGCTTAGGAACATGACTGAGAAGTATACAGGTTAGGTTATGTGCTTGTCTATTCCCTTCTTATCACTCAAAACAATGACTTTATTTATTTAAAACTGGTGGTGAGCAGCTTGCTAAGAATAGCTGACTTGTTAACTGATGAATTAAATCTATCTTTGTTGTAAGCTACAGATTTTAAAAAAAGATGTCTAAGGACTGGGAGAGCATTAAGAGAGTTGAGGCACTTAGTATAGTACTATCTATCTTGAGGTGAGTTGAGACTAATTTAAGCAAAGTTGACAGACCTAACTGTTAGCCTGGAAGAATATGATCTGTTTAGAAACACTATTCTGGTGAGGGAAAAACCTCTATTAAGAGATGACTTTCAGCACCTGTGTCCTTTGTTTTGGAAAAAAAGATGCCAAGATAACAAAGAAGAGACTAAGGATGCGGGGTCCTTCAAATTACCATTAAACATAGATCATCCACCAAATGAGTCCAGTTAAGGGTCAAAGCTGACTTCTCAAGAAGTTAAACATTTTCAGGTTTTATAAGCAAAGACTCAGGCTGAAATAAAATGATTAAGGAAACAGAACAGAAATTAAATAACTGATGTTATAAATACACACTTCACAGAGAGCCCCATTTTTAAAAAGCCGATTTATTTTTCTACCCAATTCAGTATCAGTGATATTCAAAAAGGCATAAACAGATTACAAAAAATATTTACAAGACATACAAAACTATTAAGAAGGACCAAAATCAGCAAATTAAACAAACTGTTGCTCATTCATATCCACTCAGCTGTCCAAGGCTTCTCCTAGGACAGTTTCCCAGTTCTCCAGAAAAGCAGTTAAGTAGATTTACCTTCCCCAAGAGTGAAGCAAACATTATAAGACTTGACACAATCATGTTTTGTACTAACAGAGAAAAAAAACACTCCAATTTTCTGGCCAATGTTACTGCATCAGTGGGCTCACAGGCAGGATATGACTTCATGGAAGGAAAAGAGCCTCCTTATACATAGGACAAACAGCTCTGTAGTAACAGGTGACTGCACCACGCCCAACCCTCATAGATGGCATGTAGATTATCAACACACAACGGGAAAAGGAATTGACTGCCTTACCTACTAAATACAATCCAGATTTAGGAAAGCAGTTTTCAAATCTCTACCAGGCAGACATTATACAATCAGCATTCTATACACAGCACATTCTCTTCAGAGAAAATGGGAATGAACACCACAGAAACTTTCACATTGCTCATTAGATATAATATCTGTCCAAAATATATGGGAAATGGCAAAAATCTAAACCTAATTTTAGATTTTATCTGAAATTTTACCCGAGTCAGAGTTTCAAAGAATCATTCCCATTGTCAGTCTCAGGAACCCACTATTCATCTTTAATGGAAGCAGAAGGTGAAGAGTCCAATTCTCATCTGACAGGATCAGCTGCAATACTGTTAAACTGTTTCAAATTTTTACCCTCTTTTGGGCCAATAAAAATAATAAATAAAACTATCATACATAAACATCCAAAAAAAAAAAAAAGACCTTTCTCCCAAAATGCTTCAGTCAGGAGAAGCACAGAGAATGGAATATAAAAAGTTCAATGGCTTTAAAGCATTGACAGCTTTAAAGAATTCGATAGTTTTCAGTCAACCTAGTGACTTTTTCTGGTCATCTCTAAGAAACTTCCACATTTGAAATTTAACTTTCACATTCAAAAAAGAGCTCAATTCCACTTCAGATGTGAAGAAAAAAAAAATGACATCAGCCTGAATACTCAAAAACCCTGAGTTTTGGGGAACTGTCTCATAAAGATACTTAAAAGGCCAGGAGGATTTATTTATAATTTGGCATGTGTGGGTTGAAGGGACACCAAATAAAAGGAATAAAGGTATAATACATCAAGTAATCAGACAAATGCTAGACATACATACCACATTAAAGACTTACAGACAATACGGTACTGACTTTAAAGAAAAAATCGAGGTGTACTAGAGAGAAAAGATAACAGGAGAATTACAAGGGAGCAAATGAGTCCAAAGCTAGTCCAGTGAATATCTACCAGTAGAATTTCCAACCTTTCATGTCTAAAGAAGTTGATCTAATAAATTATAAAATTACCTCATTCACTTTCAGGAAATACAATATACTCCCAGGTACAGTAATCCCTCTGATGTTTTAGTTTCACTTGCTATTTGATGACTAAGTTGTTTCTGGCTATAAAAATTTTCTTAATATATTTTAATTATCCAGTTAGCACCTCCCTTTGTGAGGCCAAACAAGTTTCACAAAATAATTTGATGAAATGAAGATGAAGGGTGGGGAAAAAAGGGGAAAGTTTCCTGCTTTCTCTTGCAAAACTTTTTCTCCCTTAAAAAACTCTGCAATCACTTAATGTTTTGTTTCAGAAAAAGAAAGCAAAACTACTTGGGAAAATACCCATACACTTATTGTTTACTAGCATGATACAAAATAAATTCATAGATGTTGGTCAACCGTCTTTCAAAAACCAAATGTGAATGTTTAATCTTGTAACTTAAGAACTAAATTTTTCCACATTCCTTTATATAGAGTTAGCATCTGTAAATTGAGACTTTCTTTTTTGGACAATCATGCAAATTTAATTTGTCCCTGGAAACAAAAACACGACCTAACAGATTAACAAAATATGTCCTCTAGACAATATTTTTCTGTGAAATTTTCTCCACTGTTACCATTTTTATCCTTCAGTAAACAAAAACTACTCTTAAAAAGTTTATGTATTTAGTTTACAGAGAACTGAACTCTCAGAACAATTAGGGAGGAAGACTTGGATCGAGTAAACTGATTTTACCTTCTGAACTGGCTCTACTCCTTTCAAAAATAAATTCTAAAAATTTTCTAGTTATTATCATTAAGCTTTACAAGTTAGAAACATTTCTACTGTCATAGATAGTTCTGTAAAACTGAATAGAGATTTTATTATACCACACACAAAAAAAGCAACCAGTACAGAAAAGGCAGTTTTCGGTTATTCTATTGAGAATTTTCCATGATTTCTCCCATTAAAGTATAGTTTTCAAAGCAACCACCACGACAAAGGAAGCATCTAATTAGTCCATTTTCTTCTGATCCAAGAATGCTGAACATTTACTGTCCCATCTGTAGTTGTATCAGCAGTGTAATGAACACAGTTTATATTACTTAACTATTCTTTGAACTCCAAGAACTGTTGAAGTCTTTTCTGATGTTCTGCAGATGCTTGCACAGCACTAAATGAAACATAAATTCAAAGCATAAGCTTTATTTTACATTAACCATATTAAGTGAACCACAGAGCACAGAGTCAATATTTTTCAAAACAATTAAAAATGAATAGAAATCTTCACTTATTTAATACTTCTGAAAAAGTTGGATGAAAAACCCTTCTTAATCTAATGAGGAGGAAGGCTTACATTCAGTCATGGCATGTTTCTACCTTCTCAAAGACCAAAGCAAATTGAGACTGACAAGTGAAGGCATCGATTTTAACCTGCTCTGCTGTGGAACCTGCTGTGCAGAGTTTCAGGCCTTGCAGTAGATTTTTCTGGATTTTATTATTTTATTTAAACCAGATTTCAACATTATCTTTGAGTTGTGGAGCATTTGAATTGCCTTTAATATAAAATCCTTTAAACTAAAATGTTTGGTTAAAACACAATAGACTCCACTAACCGTTTTCAAAGGTAACAGCTTGGTGGTTTAGATTTACTTTTTCCTTTGAACGTTATTATGTCTTGGATAGGGAAATTGAGTTCTCTCTCCCCCACAAAAATATACTACCTTGACAAAGTTAGGGCAAATACATATTCAAACTAGTATAAAACTTCCTTTTAAACTTTTGGCCAAAAATTGAATATAGCAAGAGATTCTGGTTTCCTAGTTATTGAAATATATATAGTAATGTATCATTATCAAATGATAAAATTCCAGTTAACGGAAGGTCACCGCTTTAAAGTGTCTTATGTATACACATCTCTGTTTCCTTAAACTACACAGTTGCCTCTAATACTTGAACCACTTAAAATATTTTTCTGTGCAGATCTCCCCTAGATGCGAGCAAGGCTGCCATTTCTAACTAAAGGGCCCTGAACTCTCTCAAACATCAACTCTGCAACTTTTCCATTACTCTTCCCTCTGCTGGCAGATATTGACCTATCCCTTACTATTGTTAGTACTGCTGGATCGAACAGCAGTCTCTTCCCCTCAAATTTGAATGTTATAGAGTAGAAACTCAAACTTGCTTATATTAAGAGTAAATAGGTGTTAAATGAGTATCTCCAACGAGTAACTGGCCAAGGTTCATTTTCACACCTCAGAGTTACTTCATTTATACCTGGTTCTCAGAGGTGGCATTCAGGGTGTAATGAATACATTAAGTATCTAACAGTAATAATAGTTGTTGCAATGTATAAATGTTCTACATATGTGTGATCCCACTTCATCTCTATTAACAGCAAATGGAACAAAGTAGGATGGAAACATACGCTTTCACAGCAGGGTAAACAGAACCAGAAAGGATTGGAGGTTAGAAGATAACACATCCTTACTGGTTAACAGTGCGGACCTTGAAGATGGAACTCCAAGGTCAGAAAGATCTGAGTCTGATTCTGGTTCTGTAACTTACTACCTGCACAATCTTGGGCAAGTTATTTAATAGATACCTTGCCCACAGCCATAGATAGTCAATGAGGTAACCAGCCATAAATTCAAATGTTTTAACTCCAAATCTTGCATTCTTTCCCCCACATTTAGGTCCTAGATTTGTACAAAAAAGTATCTACTGACCCATCAATTTTAACATATATGTAAAATACTATTGTTCTTAGAGAAATTAAGGCAGAATTTTGTTATCATTTTAGTCATCTGTATCTCTCTTTCTTACCTAAGAAATGTCTGTTTATTTTCCCTGTTCAAGACATCATTCATGGGCCTACCTGGTGGCGCAAGGGGTTAAGCACCGCACTATGAAGCAATCCCGCAGCCATCTGCAGCACGAGTTCGATCCCCGGCCGGCCAGGGAGCAACCCACATGGCGCAGCAGACCTCTCCTATCTCGCCCGCTGCTCACCTCAGCAGTGTAGTTCAGTCAGTCTGCCTGTTCTGTTCCCCACTGTCTCTGGTGAATCCTCTCACCACCCCCACATATCTGGCCTGTGCCCCAGCTCTTGTATGCATAAACAAATAGATCTTTAAAAAAACAAAAATCATTCATTCTCTAAATTCATCAATGCATGCATTATTCTGAATCATTCATTCTCTAAATTCATCAATGCATGTTTTCTGAAAGTATTCTACAAGCCAATTCACATTTTAAAGGCAGTCTCGTGTGCACAGAGAAGGAAGGTGGAATGTTAAAGAGTAAGAAAGTCCTAATTTCAGGCTCATATTCTAACACTCACTAGGATTATGCTGTTACACAATATCTTAATTTCTTTGAGTTTTAGTTTCCATGTATGTAATCTCAACACCTCACAGGTTCTTTGAGAAGTGTAAATGAAAATACATATATAAAGTGCTACATGAATTATCTAGAACAGCATTGTTCACTAAAACTTTCTGCAATGATAGTAAGGTTTTATACCTACATGATCCAATGTTAGTTTCTAATGACTTGAAATGTAACTGGTGAGACTGATGAACTAAATTTTAAATTTTATTTTAACTTAAATAGTCATAAGTGACTTTCACACTGGAGAGTGCAATCTAGAAGATGCCCAATAAACTCTTTAATAAGTGAATCAACCTCTTCAAAATAGAGCATAATCTATAGCTTTCTTATTCCCACACAGAATCAAAGTGTTCCCTAAAAATTTGCTACTGTGGGGGCCTCCCTGGTGGCACAAGGGGTTAAGCACAGCACTGCGAATCTATCCGCAGCCTCTGCAGCACGAATTCGATCCCAGGCTGGCCAGGGAGCTAACCCACATGGTGCAGCAGACCTCTCCTGACACGCCCGCTGCTCCCCTCAGCAGTGTATTTCAGTCAGTCTGCCTGTTCTGTTCCCCACTCTGTTTCTGGTGAATCCTCTCACCCCCCCACACCTCTGGCCTGTACCCCAGTTACCCCAGTTCTTGTATGCATAAATACATCTTTAAAAAAAAAAAAAACTTGCTACTGTGGCTGCCTAGAATTTTGAAGTAGAAGGAAGTAGACTACTCTTTATAAAAGGTGGTGGCATGAGGAAGTTCTAAACTATTGATTGATTATATACAGAAAAGGCAAAATAATCTCTCACATCTCTTCGGGTTCACTTATAATTAGGATAAATATAGTCTAGTTAATAAACTAGTATCTCTTATACCACACCCAGCTAGACTATCTCATGAAAAGCAGTAAACATCAATGAACTAAATAGAAACGGGTTTGGCATCTGTGGTTTTCTTTCTGGATCCTTTCTGAGGTTTTGTGTTCTATTATTTTTCCACCATGATTTATAAAGCACCTAGAACTCATTTATGGAATACTCTGTTCACTCCAACTCTTAGTTTGCTGACCAAAATGCGGTTGACAGAATAATTTTTAATGTTTTTCTGGAAAGGTAACTTAGCTTTTGGCCTTTTTTCCTCCCTTAAGGATGTTTTGGTAGTTAAAAAAAAATATATATAGGGACCTCCCCGGTGGTGCAGCGGTTGAGCGCTGGGCTGCGAAGCTGCCCGCAGCCTCTGCAGCACCAGTTTAATCCCCAGCTGCTCCCCGGCCACCGGCGGAGGGTCCCACAAGGCGTGCAGACCTCTCCTGCCGCCCGCTGCTCCCCTCAGCAGTGTACTTCGGTCCTTCTGCCTGCTTTGCTCTCTGCTCTGGCTCTGGTGAATTCTCTCACTCTCCCGCGCTTCTGTCTGTACCCACTGCTTGTATAAATAAATAAAAATAAATCTTTAAAATATATATATATATATAAAAATACATAAATATTTCACTTGCTACTTTTATAATTTTTTTCAGCTTTTCATTTGTCCATTTGAAAGGACCCAGACAAATTTTAAAAAATAAAGTCTAAAACTAAGCTGTTAACTCCCAGTATGAATCATGAAACTCCCAAAAGAGCAGTTTAAACATGTGAGCCTTTATAATTCTGATACCTATTTCTGAAGGAAACTCCTAAAAGTATACTGTTATTACGAATCAAAACAGGTAAACTTACTTCAGATGTTCACCAAATGTAGTAGTTATTCGATAAATGGCAGTTTTTAATGATGCTCTAAATGCAAATCTTAATGTTTTATAAGAAGTATCAACAAGGCTTCCTGAAATCCGTGGTGGTTTACTGGAAGCATGAGGAAGTTTGAAATACTTGTCAACTGCCTAGACCAAGAAAGAAAAAAAATCACATTAATACAGACTGTCAAGAAAGCTAACTTAGTCCAGAGAATTAAGAAATTTTATTTCAGAAAGAAAAACAGACACAGATATACACACATATATTTTGCCTCTTTTGGTCTCTATCTTCTGCATTAGATCCTTTCCTCAGAAATCAGTTTAAAACTGAGAGTGGGACCTCTTATAGAGCTCACCAATCTAGGAAGACCTTAAATTACTGATTGAAGATGACAGACAATAGATTTCACAACAGGTAATCTATGCCAACGTTTTTTGGGGTGAGTGACCAACTCAGTAATTTAAGGTCTTCCTTCCTAGATTGGTCAGTTTCCAGAAAAGAATCTTCCAGTATCTTCTCTGGAGGGCCTGATCCCCAGTGCTCAGAAAGCCAAGTGGGAACAGAGTTATTGAGTACATCCTGGTATGCTTAGTACACAACTGTATCTGGACTCTCCTGGCCCAAACACTTGGTGTTCTACCTTCTCAAGGGCCACCTTTCAACTTCTGCTTAAGTGAGGGAGGAGAATCAGCAGCAGAGACTCTAGGGATCTAACTGATTTTCAAGTAGCTCTCACCCAAGCCTCCTTGTTTTGGTACCTGTCCTTTCATCCTTGGGTTCCAGAGGAACTTAGTGCTTGTACTATTGCAAATTTGGGATTTGTCTATGGATCTACTAAGCTCTCTCAACCATCTGCTTTTCAGGTTTGAAAATTTTATTGCTGTTCTCTCCTCTCCTGCTTAGGGATTTATGTCTTTTTAAAAGTCCTTTTACTGTAGTTCAGCAGAGTTTGGGAGAAGATTTGATGCATATGTTCAGACTGCCTTGATAGCTTCAAGTCAATCACTTATTCTTTCAACAGTAACTATATATGAGTGTCTCCCAACATTGGGTACACTTGAGATAATTTTAGGCAGTATGGGAGGCAGTATTCAATGATATAAGCAACATGACGTAACACAGAATCATAATGGAACAGTTACCTCTATTCCAACTTTCTTGCCAACTTTCTGATTAAACCTCAGTGCACTAGGAAAAACAGTTGTCATCATTTACCACCTGGGTTCAGTGGACCCACTTTTATAATTTAAAGTAATTTTACAAAAACCTTGCAAAAATAAAATGACAGACTAATGCAAAATAACTTTATAGGAATTTAAGTAAGAATATAACAGTATTTTCCAGGTTTTAAAAATACATACATCAGAAGTGGGCAATGTCCTTGAATACAACCCGCTGCTCAACAGCTATCATGCATAAACCTGGCGTATATCCTTCTTGGAATACTGATTTCAGTTAGTACATAACCCTCAATACATTCTAGTTTATCACTACTTCTTTTTTTTTAAAATAAATTTTATTTTTATATTTCCCATACAATTGCAACCCCCTTATTTTGACCCCGATCCCTCCCCTCCCCGCCCCCCACCCTAGTTTATCACTACTTCTGATTCTTTTTCTTGTATTTGCACCATCAAAAGGCAGTATTTTAAAAAACTTTTGACAGCTCATACTCTTGTTGCAGAGATTTCAGCCATTTTCTTTGCACCATAAATGCAAAATGTGTTTATTCTTAGGTTTATATACACAAATTCAAATGATTAATCCAGTGACATTTTTCATTTGATATCTATTTCCTCTCTGTATACACATATAGTTTCAGCATTTATCTACTTACAAACTGTATAAAGTAAATATGATAAGTATCATAAAAAATTAAGGAATAATGTCACATGTACTTTTAGCAAAATGGGATGGTTCAGGTTCTTATTATAAGATGCTATGGGATGTAGTCTTTCCTGTTGAATGACTTTCTAGATGACATTATCACAAACATTTCCCCTTAAAAATATATTGTTCTGTCATTAATTCTTGAGTTAGAGAAAAATATATCTAAAATATTAACATCTAAAGATTCCCCTTATATGATCCATTTCAGCAGCATCATTAAATCTAGAGTGTGCTGGCCAATTACTAGTTATAATTTTACATAGTGATAACAAAATGATTATATTTAGGTATACTAAATATATTTTTAATATAACTACTACAAAATGTAAAGTTACATAAATGGATTGTATTACATTTCTATTAAACACAACTGAGAATACAGCTGTCTCTTTTGCATTTATCTGATTTAGCTAAATATTTATTTAACATACATTGGCAATTTTCTTCCCCTTACCATTCCATACAGGAAATTAAAAAATCTGAATTAGCAGTTATATTCAATGGAAGACTTAAAAAAAAAAAAAAAAGACCATAAAGATGTGTATCCAGACATTTTATATACCTTTTCTTTTTAAGATTTATTTATTCAAGCATACAAGAGCTGGGGTACAGGCCAGAGGTGCAGGGGGTGAGAGTATCCACCAGAGACAGAGTGGGGAACAGAACAGGTAGATTTGACAGAAGTACACTGCTGAGGGGAGCAGCGGGCGAGACAGGAGAGGTCTGCCTCGCCATGTAGGTTGCTCCCTGGCCAGCCGGGGATTGAACTCATGCTGCAGAGGCTGCTGTTACCTTCATAGGTTGCGTCTTAACCCCAATCACCACCAGGGAGGCCCTATACCTCTTCTTAAAAGATTATGCAATATTACATGACCATATTGTTTTTTGTTTTGTTTTCTTTTTTATCAGTCTTTTACCACAATTGGGAATAACTGATGAGTAATGAAGAAATAACTCCTAGGATGATCAAATAGCAAATTGTTTCAAGAAACTGGAAATGTAAAATCACTAAGATTCTATAATACATCTTAGATTTAAAGAGTTGAAAGGGTAATTGCAAAAGAATGAATTTTGAACTTTTTTCTTTTGTTTGTTCTTTGGTCTCTAAGAAAGTATTAATCACTAAATATCAATACTTACAAATAGTTGGAACAGCTCAAAAAAGAAACACAAAACATAAACTAGGTTCCAACATATTCTAATGATCAAAATGTTAAACCAGGGAGGAAAGTCTTTTTGGAATTAATGTCTCCTTAACAGATCTTTAATCCTCACTAATCTCCTTTTGTAACAAAGGGTAAGCAGGCTCCAGGCTCAGAAACTTTCAGCAAGCAGCAATATCTGACTAGAGTTTAAAATAATTGTTTCTTCTCACTTAATTCTGAAATTCAAAAAGCCCTGAAAACAAAAACTTTTATAACTCTGTTGGTGACAAAAATTGACCTCATCTAATTTCATCTGGCAGCAAAACCTGACCTAAGCTGACACAGGCTACTTGGTCTTTATCCACTTAATAAGAATATTCAGATATCTCATTTGGAAAAATATTAGTGTCCGATTAAAGGAATTCTACCTCGAAATATAACAGGATAACAGGAGGGTTATGTGGTTTATATATATAAACTATAGTATGTGTGTGTATATAGTATGTGTGTATATATATGTATATATGTGTATATATACATATATGTATATATATATACATACACACACATATACGTATATACATATATATATATATATGTATACACACACACATATACATACTATGCTACATTTTTTTAAAAATTTGAATTCTCGGGGCCTCCCTGTGGCATAAGGAGTTAAGCACCGCACTATGAAGCAATCCACAGCCTCTGCAGCATGAGTTCAATCCCTGGCAGGCCAGGGAGAAACCCACATGGTGAGGCAGTCCTCTCCTGTCTCGCCTGCTGCTCCCCTCAGCAGTGTATTTCACTCAGTCTGCCTGTTCTGTTCCCTACTCTGTCTCTGATGTATAATCTCACCTGCCACATCTCTGGCCTGTACCCCACCTCTTACATGCATAAATAATTAAAATAAAAAAATCTGAATTCTCTCCATGACAATATATAAGAATCTTAAGGGCATGATGCTAAGTGAAATATGTCAGACAAAAGCAAGTGAGGGTGGCCTTACTCCTGTATGAAATTTTTAAAAATTAAAGAAAAAATCCAATTCCACAGCTCTCCTGCCCACCTGTGACTATGTGGGTGTTTCTCTTTTTTCCCTTTTCCTAATAAGCCTGTCCTTTAATATGCAACAAAAAAAAAAAAGATCAAATTTAGAAAAAGAAAGAATAGATCTGTTAGATGAAGGTGGTCAAAAGGTACAAACTTCCAGTAATAAGATAAATAAGTACTAAGGATAAATTAGTACATGATGACTATGTTAACAAAGCTGTATATAAATATATGTGAAAGTTAAGAGTAAATTCTCATCACAAGGGGAAACAATTTTTTTCTATTTCTTTCTTTACTTTATAGCTACACTAGATGTCAACTAAACTTAGTATGACTGTTTCACAATATATGTAAGTCAAATCATGCTATATATCTTAAAAACTCATACAGTACTGTTTAAATCAATTATAGTTCAATAAAACTGAATAACTGAATATAGTTCAATATAATATATTGAACTGAATATAATATATTGAACTGAATATAGTTCAATAAAACTGAATAAAAAGTCCAGCGAGATAAGACACATAACAAACTGATCAACAAATGTTACATGTCCAATGTATTTTCAAATCACGGTTATACTACTATGTGGTTACACAAGCCAAGTATTAGAAGTTGTAGGGAAATCCTAGAAAATTATTCCTTTAGAGAAAGGTAGCTGGGAAAATACCACAAACAATAAAACTATCCATGTGTACATACATGCCTCAAATAGTAGACAGGAGAAAGAAGGTACAAAAACTCATAGGAAAAAAAAAAAAAAAAAAAACTAGTTTCTCGAAGATTAAGACTTTCAGGTAGTTTACAGTGAGTTTGAAGAAAAGTACAATGAAGCATGTTTTCTCCTTGTATCTTAAAGGCTTCCTAAAGCCAAAAGATGTACCAACTGTTATCATTCAAGCCTAGTTCTAAAAAACCTACTCTAATCCCTAGCAATTAGTGTTTATATTTTCCATCTGACATAATTAATATTACAAGGTGGTATAAATAGGTCACCCCATCCAAGAACACCGGCAACTTACATATAATGCAATGTTACTTCAAAAAGAAAAATCACACAAGAAGAAGATAGGAAAGGCAAATACAAATATTAGAAAGCAGAATACATTTTATTTTTCTGTCTTTCTCTTTAGTTTAGAATAAAAAGACCTGTTATTTTAAATCTAACCACCCAAGTCTGGTGGCAGGGATCCACTGGTCACAGTTCTATCTTCTTGAGTGTCTAGCTGATGGGCAACTAATTATCTACAAGGATAATTTAAGTAGTCACTTTCCATACCTAGAAACTGTTTAAGGATCCAAGCTTATATCACTGAACAGAACTGCACTATCTTGTATAGTCTGTTTAATACCAGACACATAGTCTACAGGTTTATTGTATTTTCTTCTACTATTTATATGAAATTATTCATTAATGAGGTAAAAGCTTCTCTTTCTATTATCTTAGATTGCAGTTTTGTGAGAAAAGCACCATTATGTTAGCTTCCAACATATGTTTTCTTATTCATTAAATATGATATATAGGAAACAAACTGAAAAACCTAGAAGGTGAGGAACATCGCCTCTACCTCCACCTAACCTATCTATTGCCTACCTCTTGCAGCGTCAATAAAGTGTTAAGAATGGCTGGTAATGTAGTCTGGACAACTCCAAATCTATCTTCTGTAAATGATGCCGCTACTAAGTGAGAGAGACCTCAACAGGAAAAGGAAAAAAAAGTTAAAAATTAATCAAAATTAGGAAAATCTATTTGCAATACATCTATTTGAGAAAAGATTAATATTCTGAATATATAAGAAACTTCTAAATCAAAGAAAAAGGGTAACACAATAGAAAAACTGGCAAAAGACTGAAATGGGCACTAAAAGGAGTTCAGCTGCAGTAGTCATGAATAAGGTAAGTCTCTTCATTACTTTCTAATAGGAAAATTTTATTTTTTTAATAATATAGCATTGGGAAGTGATAAATGTTAGAAAAAAAAGCAAAGCATAAGGAAATTGAGACTGCTTGAGGACAAGTTTTTTTTCTTTTAAATATATTCGTTATTAAAGTATCATTAGATGATAATATTTTTAGTATTTTGGTAGTATGGGATCTCTTCATAGGGTGGTCTAGAAAGGGCTTTCTAAAAAACTAAGCAGTTCTTAAGTAATCATTAAGCATTGAAAAGGCATACCTATAAGATAAAGTTCTTTAACAGCTAAGTTTTCATATTTAAATATAAATTATGCTAAAATATGTAAAATGTTATGCCAGCAAAATGTGACAGTTGAAAACAAACTATTAATTGCATTTCTTGAAGTAGAGAAAAATGAGTAAGAATTCCAGGCTCAGTTTCACTGATAATAAATAAGGAAAATTTCTGCCCAAATTAAAGTATACCCAACTATCTAAGAAAAGTAAGTTATATAAAACAAAAATACAAGAATGCATCTAAAAATTTAAAGACTAAGATCAAAGCCCAGAATTGATGATTCATGGATTAAACTTCAACATTTAAATAATTAAAATTATAGTTGCAGTTCACTGAGCTCACTTACCTTCTAAAGCCCAAATATGCATTTGGGCATCTGAAAAAACAGCCTGAATTGATGCCTCTGGGTGCTACAAATACAACAAAGACATTTAAGTAAGTTGCCCTGGGCAACACAATGATTTCACGTAATCAACTACAGAGTACAACTACCAAAAATAGACAGTTGCCTCTCAAGAATTAAAATCTGAAATTTTTATACAAATGATTTAACTGCAATAAAGCATTCTGCCACCAACATATTGTATGACTTTTGCCAAGTCTTTATAAAGTCCTACGTGCCTCAGTTTCTCATTTAAAATAAGTCATATTTGCTCCTCCCACTTCAGAGGGTTAGTATAGAGATCACTTAAGAATCAAGGTCCAGGGCCTCCCCTGGTGGCGCAGCCGTTAAGCGCTGGGCTGCGAAGCTGTCCGCAGCCTCTGCAACACCGGTTCGATCCCTGGCCTCCAGTGAGGATCCCACATGGCGTGCAGACCTCTCCTGCCATGCCCGCTGCTCCCTTCAGCAGTGTATTTCGTCAGTCTGCCTGTTCTGTTCCCTGCTCTGGCTCTGGTGAATTCTCTCACCCTCCCACACTTCTGACTGTACCCAGTGCTTGTATAAATAAATAAATAAATCTCTAAAATAAAATAAAGTCAAAAAAATTTGAAGAAAATTAGCACAACTTTAAAAAAAAAAAGAAAAAGAAAAGAAAAAAAGAAACAAGGTCCAAATGCTTTTTTTGAAAAATGAAAGAACCACCTAAATACATACTGCCTCTTAAAACTGTCTACCCTCAAGCCCACTCCAAAGAAAACCACTCAACCGTTTGTGATATAGCAAGGTCAAACAGTATGAAGCAATAACTGGTCCATTTAAACAAAAGGTAGCTTTAGTAAGACACCTAAAAAGGCCTATTAAGTAGAACAGTATGTTACATTTCTCACCATCAAATGGCAAAGATACGCTTGCAGAATCAGAATTAAAACTAGCATTCACTTTCAAGGAAAAAGGAGATCTCCTTCAGCATCTGCTCTGCCACTTGCTGTCTACGTGCCCTTAGTCTACCTACTTGACCCCTCTGAATCTCAGATTCCCTTATCTGCAAAATGAGGACAAAAAGACATCTCACAGGAACGCTGTTATAATTGAGGGAATTTAAGTGAAAAGAGCATGGCATCGCTTCTCGGCCTTTTGGCTAAGATCAAGTGAAAAGAGCATGGCATACATTAAGACACAACAGTGCGTTCTCTTTCCATCCTTCTGAAAGAAAGCACGCAAGTAAAACTTCTTCCCCTTGCTGGAAGACAAGACACCTTTCTCAGGGGTCTGATAGTTTCCCCAAAACTACAATGGATAGTCTAAAATAGATTATTTTTGGCAAAAGAAATTAGTAGTTGGTGGATCTCCACCACATAATGAAAAAAGTTTCAAGAACTCGAGTATCTATATTCTTTCAGAATTTCTCAAATCCCTCCTCCCAGAGTATGCCTCCCAAAGAATACAAATGAATAATGTATGCCAATGCAAACGTTCACCTGGAGGCATTGAGTTCAATGTCAGCTAATACTACAGTATCTCCAGAAAGAAGCTCGATTAAGAAAATGTTAAACAAAAATTCTTTCCACTGTATATAGGCAAAGGTTTTGTTCATCAAAGGATTAACACACAAGAGTTACAGCCTGTAAAAGCAGGAATGAAACTTTAGCTTCTGCAGTTGAGATTTACTTTCCTGTGGCAGCTGCAGCAGCTGACAGACAAGTTGGAAAGTCACTAAGTTTATGGCCTGAACTACAAGTTTTTATCCATCACAAGTTTAACATGTGTCATCTAACCCAAATTTTCAACACTGAACTGGCCACAAAGATGGTAGCAGGATAATGGGCCATGAAGGGTCAGATAGACTTGAATTTGGTCATTTTGCAGGCAGGGGCTGCCTGTCAGCACAAAGCTGCTTGTAGTCAAGTAGAAACTAAGGAGGCCAACTAGAGCCAGGCCTAAGGAAGTCACTAAGGTGCAATGTGTAGCTAAGGCAGCAATTGTTAAAATGGAGGTTTAGTGAAGCACTATGAAAAGCTGTTTGGCTTGCTAAAACAAACTACATATTTAGCAATTCTATCTGCTATTATTCCCTCTCCCCCATTCCCAATGCTATGACTACATATTCTTACCTTACTGAAAAAATACATTATCAGCACACGTTTTGACAAGAAATTTTTAATCTGAGAGGGGGAAAAAAACAAGAATTAGCACATTTACAGTTCTCAATTCTATTCAAATAAAATATCATATATTTCCAAGTTCTTTCAGACATTAACCTAAATGAAATACCTCATTTAGAGAAAGGGCAACAGTTCTCCCTCAATCTTAATCATTCCATTAGCAAACATGCTACTATTTCTCCCATCTTAAAAAATAAAACACTTTATCACCCAACACCATGCAGAAATTATCCCATTTCTCTACTCCCTTTATAGCAAAACTCCTTATAAGATCTGACTTTTCTAATGTCCTTTAATTTACCTCCCAATCTCTCTCTGAACCTGAACCCATGCAATCAGGTTTCCATCCCCAGCACTCCAACCAAGAGCTCTTGTCAAGGACTGAAGGCCTCCACAGTTCTAGTACAACAGTTCATTCTTGTAACAGTTTGAATGTCATGCTACCAATCAGCAGCATCTGACACTTCTCTTTGAAACACTTTCTTTTCTTGGTTCTCTTCTTACTCCAACTTCTTTGCTATTTCTCCTCCTAGCTCAGACATTTAGTCTGAGGTCCCAATCCTTGCATTTTTTGATTCTTTTTCTATACTGCATGAGCGTTTTCATGGAATCTCTAGGTTTTAATACTGTCTAGACTTCCTCATTGCTCATGGGCTTACTTAAATATATGTTCTTTCTAGAAATGCAAATACTGGCTTCCCCTTAACTTCAGATGTAAATCTAATTTCTTACCTACATGGTATTTTCACATGTTGTCTGACAAATATCTCAAAATTGACATGACCAAAAACTAAAGTCAAATCCTACTTCCCCCAGCTCTCCTCTACCAAATCTCCTTTACCAGAATCATCAGCTATTTGCAACTCAATATACTGCAACTAAATTATCGCATACCCTGAGGCCAAAACTTTCAGAGTTCTCACTGGCCCTCTTTTTCACACAGAAAATCACAGGCAAATCCTATTACATCTACCTTCAAAATTTATCTAGATTTTTATTAATCTTGTAGTTCACATCACATCCATCACAACCACTCTGGTCACAGATTCCACCATCTTCCACCAGATTACTTCAACATAGCAACTGGAGTGGCACTTTCAAAATTTAAGGTTACATCATGTTATTCTTAGGTCAAAACCACATAGTGAGATTCCATCTCAGAAAATGTTGGCCTTTCATTAGCTAATGGAACCAGAACTCAATGGGTCCATTAGCTACCTCTCTGACATTATCACTCACCACTTTTCCCTCCCTTACTCTGCTCCAGCCATACCAGTATCCATGCTGTTAAAATACAGCACAGAAGCCAGAAAAACTTCCACCTCAGGACCGATTCTGCTGTTCCTTACACTGCCTTCATGTCTCTGTCAAATGTCACTTTTTCAATGTCCCTGATCACCCTATATAAAATGGTACTTCCTCCTCTGAGTACTCTCTATTTCCCTTACCTGCTCTATTTTTTAATATAGCACTTTAGATACCAAATATCCTTGAAGACACATTTTTCCTATTTTATACATAACATATAAAGATGCAAATACCATGTCATGGTTTTACAGGCAACATTTTTTCTTAAATAGCTCATAAGTCTTACAATAGTAATTTTTATATTCAAAGAAATATAGTATAGTACATTTTCTTGTTCATCTATTTCCCCTCACTAAAATGTAAACATTATATGGCCAGGGACTTTTTCTTTGCTGCTTTCCCAGTGCTTAAAAACACACCCTGCCTATATAAAGAACTTGATAAATATTTCTTAAATGAAAGACATCACAGATCAAGGGTATTGTGCCAGGTTAAGCCATATGAGACTGCAATTTGTGTAACTCAAAGCCAGTCAAAAACTAGCAATTTCATATGGGTTAACTTAACACATGAAGCATCCAAAAAAAATTCCTATTTTATGGCTGACTCATATGAGATCCTTAATGCTCTCAATGGTACATGCAAATCTAAATCCTAAAACCATGTCATCCTACCTGTTCACGTTTATTCTGAATCCAAGAATAAATCACACTTGGCTGTTTCACTGTCTTACCCTCAGCACTAATAGTAGTAAATGGAGGATTAGAAAATTCAGTCACTTGCTGATCTACAAAAAACAAAAACAAACAAAAAAAATACCACGGTTAAAACTTAGGCTATCTCATTCTCTGTCTGCAAATATGACATATCAAAATTTAGAAAATAAATAGTCCTCACCAGAGACAGAAGTCCATAATCTTGGCCCTCTTCTTACTAGCTGAGGACTCTGAGGTGACCCATAGCAGGTGTTTACATCAAAAATTCCAGCCATCCGATTCACTACACTAGAGCCAAAAGAAGTTCCCAGGGGACTTGCAACATCAGGTGTAGATAATTTTGAGGAAAACAGCGATGTTTTAACTAATGATGGCACTGAAGGCCGAGGCATCTGGTTAGATTTTGGGGTCTGAAAAGCAGTTTCTTCTGTAAAAGAACAGATCCAGTGCTGAAGAAGTAACCGCATCCAAACAGGCCTACACAGGGGTTGTCACATTTTTTTACATCTCAATTTTTTGTTCACTGCATTTATCCAAGGGTCAGTAGGTTTTTTTCCATGTAGAACATCGCAAGATCCAGAGTTTACTACTACAACTCAATGACACTGAGGAGCTTTACACATCTTTTTCTGTCATATTGGTGCAGTTTTCCCTGTTTCTCCTCCATCATGAGAATCTTTACCCTAAAGGTCAGTTTCTCTAACTCTAAGCTGTTCTGAATTAACTTATCAATTTATATTTTATTTTTAAATGGCAACAACTTCAATTACTGCATTAGAATCTGCCCCATTTTACTACAGCTCCTATTTTAACTGTTACTTGGTTACACACACTAAGTTTATGTTGTGAAAAGGTACACATAAGAGTGCTAACCTGTCCAACAACTTTTTGTCTTTGGGTTACTGAAACCAGAATAGTGTTCATCATTATCTATAAAGATTCACCTGGCTGCATACTAGAGTTAAGTCGAACTCTTCCACTTGACCAACATTTTGTCAGCCTTTTTAATAGAACTGTGCTGGACTTCATTTTTTCAATCTACAGTACTATTTAGGCCTTTTTCTTGCTTCATTAAAATAGCCCATATTTTAGGTCAATTTTCTTTTTTGTACAGGCCAGAGATGCGGGGGGTGAGAGGATTCACCAGAGATAGAGTGGGGTACAGAACAGGCAGACTGAAATACACTGCTGAGGGGAGCAGTGGGCGAGACATGAAAGGTCTGCTGCGCCATGTGGATTGCTCCCTGGCCAGCCAGGGATCGAACTCGTGCTGCAGAGGCTGTGGATTGCTTCATAGTGAGGTGCTTAACCCCTTGCGCCACCAGGGAGGCCCTAGGTCAATTTTCTATAAAATGTATACTTCATACTCATGTACCCATTCTTAGATTAACTACTATCATTTTTCTTAGGAAATAAAATAAAAATGTAATACTTCCCCTCTCTTAGCAGGTAGAAGTTACCTGGAGAATTTAATTTCTTTGTTTCTACTGGACATGATGAAGACATTACTCTCCCATTTGTAGCAGCAGTTTCTTGGTAGAGAACCAGTTTCTGAGTCATATCATTTAATAGATTCAAACATTCCCTTGAAATTGCAGTCCAGTTGTGGGGATGTCCACCTAGGAGAGCCAAACACCAGTCTTAAGAGTTTCCTCTCAAAGCGGAGAGAAAAATCATTAAGAAATGATACATGACACTTTACATCGGGGTACATGTTTCCCACTTAAGTTACTAGTCAACTCATGCCATTTAATATACACATACAAATATTCAACATTTAGATGAAATAATTTCCCCAAAAGTCTACAAGAAAACAACTTGCAATTTTACTGCTTCAAAAAAAATCTCTTAAATTAGTGCCTAAAATAAAGTCAAACACTAGAGCATGACAGAGGTAAAAGCTCAGGGTTCACCAGCAGCACTGAAAAGAATGACTGCAAAGACCAGCATGACTAATAAGATGCACCCCAGAGGCCCCAGTGATCTCAAACTGTTCTATTTGACCCACTGTGCTTCCTTACATTTTCATTTGTATAAAGCTCCGTATTTGCTCTTCCGTCTTTAGGAATGACACATTATTTGATAATGACCATACTTCACCTCTGGACAGTTTATTTACTGCTATCTGATTATTTTATTTAAACTATAATGATCCACAAGCTTACTTCCTTTACTTTTTCATTATCTTTTGTTTTTGTTTTTTTAAAGATTCATTTATTTATGAATACAAGAGCTGGGGTACAGGCCAGAGATGTGGGGGGCGGGTAAGAGGATTCACCAGAGACACAGTGGGCAACAGAACAGGCAGATCGACCCAAGTACACTGCTGAGGGGAGCAGCGGGCGAGTCAGGAGAGGTCTGCTGCACCATGTGGGTTACTCCCTGGCTGACCGGGGGATCGAACTCGTGCTGCAAAGGCTGTGGATAGCTTCATAGGTTGCGACTTAACCTCTTGCACCACCAGGGAGGGCCCTACTTTTCATTATCTTTTGGCTTTCTATGACCTTTATCTCCTAGAACTGTCACGTAAAACTCAACTGCACCTCATTATGTGTTAATAATGGCAAAGGAGTCCACTTATTTCCCCATAGGGAAAACGGGTTTCCCTATGTTAGATCCCTCCTTAGACATTTCCCCTATTTCTAGCTCAACGGAGATATCACCTAAACGGCAAATTAACAATATACTTCATCAGGAGGCCCCACATTGTTTGGTACTGCTATATCTCAGGATCACTAAGGAACTAGGTAAAAAATCAACTTAAATTTTAAAAATATGCCTTCAAATGCAAGCTCTCTGGCAGAGAATATGCCATCCTGTCACAGTTTACTTGAATATGTACTGAAAAATATTTATTGTATAGAGAATTCCTAAGTGAAACCTAAGTCTGAGCATAAAATATTGCCACCCTTAATTTTCCATAGCGTCAACTATGGATTTTTCATGCTATTAAAAGAAGAGTGGCTCTTATCATTTATATTTTTACATAATTAGATTTTATTTCCATTTAAAATTTAACTATGGGAGGTTTATTTACAATCTGAGAACTGGTTGAGTTTGGCTAAATAAAGAAGTATATATTAGAGAGAAAAGATGAAAAGATACCCAGAATTTATTTCCCACTGGTGGACGGGGCTGAAATGCTTTCCCTCTTTGAACAAGGCAGAACTCTTACACTGGTGCAGTCTTAAAGAGCTTGGTAAGTTACAGTGGAGAAGAATTTCAGACTCATCTAGAACATCCTTGAGTCACCATCAAATATACTTCCTTTCTACTGCTTTTACTTCCCCATGGCAGTTAAATGACAGAATTTCTTACTTCAACTCTGACATTAACTTCATTTAAAACACTTAGTCTGACATTTATTTTTATTTTTTTATAATTATTTTTTTATAGAGGCATGTTTATTTATTTATTTGTTTGTTTGTTTATACAAGCACTGGGTACAGTCAGAAGCGCGGGAGGGTGAGAGAATTCACCAGAGCCAGAGCGGGGAGCAGAGCAGGCAGAAGGACCGAAATACACTGCTGAGGGGAGCAGCGGGCGGCAGGAGAGGTCTGCGCACCATGTGGGACCCTCCTCCGGTGGCTGGGGAGCAGCCGGGGATCGAACCAGCACCGCAGAGGCCCCAGCCAGCGCTCAACCCTAGATTCCCTGATTTTTTAAGACCCCTTACAACATTTAAACTTTCAGGATTTTAAACTGTGCTTTTCCACTCTAAAACTATCAACCTACCACATAGTTTCAAGTTAAGGGATGGAGGAAATAATACAAGTTTAAAAATGCTTTTCCTGGTAACATAACTTCTAATCACAACAACACAAAGATGTAGTAGTATAAGTTTTAATGCTTCATTTAATAGACTCACTGATGTGTAATATTTGATTAAATACACCTCTCTCCATGAAAATGAATAGACAAACTACCAGATCCTATGGGATCAAACTCTTCTAAAAGTGGTATTAAGAGGGAAGTAGGGGCCTCCCTGGTGGCGCAAGGGGTTAAGGCGCAACCTCTGAAGCTGTCCACAGCCTCTGCAGCATGAGTTCGATCCCTATCCCTGGCCAGCCAGCGAGCAACCCACATGGCACAGCAGATCTCTCCTGACTCGCCCGCTGCTCCCCTCAGCAATGTACTTCGGTCCATCTGCCTACTCTACTCCCCACTCTGGCTCTGGTGAATTCTCTCACCCTCCCACGCTTCTGACTGTACCCAGTGCATGTATAAACAAACAAACAAATAAATAAACATGCCTCTATATAAAAAAAAAAAGATCAGAAACAAGACAAGACGATGTCTGCTGTCACCACTACTATTCAATATAGTACTAGGAGTCCTAGCCAAAGCAATCAGGCAAGAAAAAGACATAAAGGGAATCCAAATTGTAAAAGAAGAAGTGAAACTACAATTGTTCATAGATGCCATAATAATAATACATAGAAAATCCAAAAGTCTCTACAAAAAACCACTAGAAATAACAAATGAATACAGTAAAGTGACAGTATACAAAACCAACACACAAATATTTGTTGGGCTTCTATATATAAAAATGAATTAGAAAAAGGAGACCTAAAGGAAACAATTTCATTTATAATCATAGCAAAAAAGGATGAAATACCTAGAAATAAATTGAACAAAGGAGGTGAAGGATCTCTATATGGAAAATTTAAGACACTGTCAAAGGAAGTAAAAGAAGACACAATGAAATGGAAAGATACCCTGTGTTGAGGAATGGAAGAATAAGCATTGTTAAAATGGTGATATCACCTAATACAATTTATAGTTTCAACACAACGCCTATCAAAACTACAGTGACATTCTTTTTTTTTAAACATCTTTTTTTTTTTAAGGATTTATTTATTTATACAGGAGCTGGGGTACAGGCCAGAGGCACGGGATGGTGAGAGGATTCACCAGGGACAGAGCGGGGAGCAGAAGAGGCAGATGACCGAAAGCACTGCTGAGGGGAGCAGCAGGCAAGACAAGAAAGGTCTGCCACACCATGTGGGAATCTCCCTGGCCAGCCGGGAATTGAACCCGCGCTGCAGAGGCTGCGGACAGCTTCCCAGTGCTGCGCTCAACCTGCTGCACCACCGGGGAGACCCCATAGAATGACATTCTTCAAAGAAATAAAACAATTACAAAATTGGTGAGAAACCACAAAAGCCCCTGAATAGTAAAAGCAATCCTAAGGGAAAAAAAGAAAAATGGAGATTTCACACTCCCTAACTTTAAATAATACCACACAGCAACAGCAATCAAAACAGTATGGCATTGGAACAAAAACAGTAACACCGACCAATGAAATAGCCCAGAAATAAACCGACACAAATATGGTCAGTTTATCTTTTTTTTTAAAGTTTTTTTTTTTTTTAAAGATTTATTTATTTATTTATACATACAAGCACTGGGTACAGTCAGAAGTGTGGGAGGGTGAGAGAATTCACCAGAGCCAGAGCGGCGAGCAGAGCAGGCAGAAGGACCGAAGTACATTCTGAGGGGAGCAGTGGGCGGCAGGAGAGATCTGCACGCCATGTGGGACCCTCCACCGGTGGCCGGGGAGCAGCCGTGGATCGAACCGGCGCTGCAGAGGCTGCGGGCAGCTTCGCAACCCAGTGCTCAACCACTGCGCCACCGGGGAGGCCCTGGTTAGTTTATCTTTGACAAAAAATGGAGAAAGGAAAAGCTCTTTAACAAATGGTGCTGGGAAACTTGGACAGTCACGTGCACAAAAATGAAACTAGATGATTACTTATAACTCCATACACAGAAGTTATTTCAAAATGGAAACCATAAAATACAAAAAAGAAAATGGATGGTACACTCCTGGATATCAATCACAGCAAGGGAAACAAAATCAAAAATAAACAAATAGGACTACACCCAACTTACAAGCTTTTTTAGAGCAAATAGAAACCATCACAAAAACAAAAAAGGCAACCTACAGGAGGAGATATTTTCACATCACATCGGACAAGGGGTTAATTTCCAAAATATATAGAGAACTCACATAATTCTATAACAACAACAAAAACCCAATCAAAAAATGGGCAGAAGACCTAATTAGACACTTGTCCAAAAAATACACACAGAAGGCCTATAGGCACATGAAAAAATACTAAAAACACTTACTTATAATGGAAATGTAACAAGCAAAACCAAGGCCTCCCCGGTGGCGCAGCGGTTGAGTGCTGGGTTGCGAAGCTGCCCGCAGCCTCTGCTACGCCGGTTCGATCCCCAGCCTCCGGGTGAGGGTCCCACATGGTGCACAAACCTCTCCTGCTGCCCGCTGCTCCCCTCAGCAGTGTACTTCGGTCCTTCTGCCTGTTCTGCAACCCGCTCTAGCTCTGGTGAATTCTCTCACCCTCCCGCGCTTCTGACTGTACCCAGTGCTTGTATAAATAAATAAATATTTTAAAATCAATCAATCAATCAATCAATAAATAAAAAGAAAACCAAAATGAGACACCCCACTACCTCTAAGAGAATGGCCTATTTCAAAAAGATTGGAAAAACAAACATTGGCAAAATGTTTGGTGGGAATGTAACTGGGTGCAACCTCTATGGAAACTAGTAGAAATCCTCCCATCCTGCCCCCAAAATGGAAATACTATATGCCCAGCAATAACACTTCGCAAAGAATATGAAAACACCATACAAAAGATTTATACACTCCTATATTCATAACAGCATTATTCACAATAGTCAAGTCATGGAACCAAGCTAAATACCAATCAACAAACAACTGAATATAGAAAATATGGAACATATATACTCAATGGAATACTACATAGTTACTAAAGATGAAAATAGTGGTTCTTTTGGCATGAAATAGATAAATTTTGAGGTGATTATGCTAACTGAAGTAAGTCAGAAAAGTGAAAGACAGTTGTCAAATGGTTTCATTCATTTGCAGAATGTAAATATAAGGAAACTAGCCTGCAAAACAACAAAAATAACTCTTAGCCTCTAAAAAATATACTGGTTACCTGATGAAATAGCAGGGATAAGGAAGGGAAAGTGATGGGGTTGTGGCACTGGGGCGCTGGTGGAGGATAAGTGAGGCATACACCTAATATAGAGGTATGAAGTTATATTCCCCAAATTATATAGTTATATAGACTAATGGCAAATCAATAGAACTTGAAAAAAATATAACATTAAAGTATTAAATAAAGTATTAAATAAAGTATATAGCTTAATAATAAATAAACCTCTCATAAAAAAAACTTTAAGTGGAATACTTTCTGCACACAAGTGTCTAAGCATATCTGTTACTTTTAGCAATACCTGGTTGGCTAAGGCTAAAAACTTCCTGCCTTCTTGAAGGAGAATATTGAGAAAGCAACATCAGGTCCTGCAAGGCCAAATACTAGAACGGAAAAAATAACAGCATGTTTAATTTTTTACCCTCTATAAAATCTTATTTATGAATAAGGCTCAACACTAAACTTACACACACACACACACACACTCAGTATAGGAATTACATAATTCTATGTTCTTTTCAACCTATGTGGTATGAAATTTAATTGCTTACTCCTAGGACTTTTCTTGGTCTCCCCCTCATAATCATATATTCTCACAACTCTCAACTATGGCACTTAACATGATTTATTATAATATATGTGTCTGGTTCCACTCATCACACTGTGAAGACAGAGATGTCTTCAATGGCAATGCCTAGTATCCACAAGACAAGGAACCAAGCAATATCTGTTCTATTTTACTAGAAAATCTTCCTGTTGTTTCCTGACAAACCTCTTCACTCATCATTCCAGATACCATCCCTTCTGTGAAGCTCTTCTGTATTGGTCCCAAGCAGAATAAGTAGTTCCAATTATACTTACCACAATACATTTTCATTATTTTGTGTATATGCCTTTTCCATTAGACTGTACCAAGTGTTATTATATCTTAAGCAGCTAGCAGTAACTGACAATTCCTCAGTAAATAAAGATTTGTTAAATAATGAATAAATTATAATTGCTATTTAGAGGTGATAAGGGCTTCAGTGGTTCCTTTTCTTATTAGTTAATAACTTTCCCAGAGTATAATAAAAACTCTGGGTTCTATTTTCTTTCAATTCTTTAAGAAGTATAACTACTTAACATTACTACACATATTGCATAGCTCTACTCCAAATTTCCAAAATGTAATTTGAATCAAAACAATTTACTCTCACTTAGCTTGGCTTATCAACTTATTGCAAATTCTTTGAATTCTTGATTAAAATTTGTTTTCGGATCATTATCATTATTCTATTTTAAGAGAATTCACTGGATATCTACATACTACCAAGCACTACTTTTTGATCATAATGGCCAACAATAGTATATGAGTAAAAGTACATCTTGAACCAGTCCTTTAAAAAAAAAAATCACTATGTTTTGTTTTGCTACCATGAAGAGTTTATGGCATGCTAACACATTTAGCTGGATATTGTATTTCATGATTGGAAACATTTTTATGTCTGTTCCGAGTATAGAATTAGCTTAGCCTATACACAAACATTGCAATATATAATTGTAATTTAGACAACTGGAATGAAAACTGAAAAAAATAAACATTCAATATAGCACGTATGTGATTTTTACAATGCCAGTACTAGGATTTTGTAAGACCTTTAAAAAAAAAATCTAAATATTCTAAATATTAAGTCAATAGCATAAGTTAGACATGACTATATAAAGACACAAAGTACAGAGTTCTGTACCTTTATGATGAGGGGAGGATTGCTGTTTAAAACTTTAGGGAGACATTCATCTGACTCTTCTGCAAATGGTGGCTGAACAGGGAATAGATGAGCCTATCAAACATAATCAAATACAGACTATAAATGACTATTTTCATGACATTGAGTAAGCAAGCACTAACTAAAATTTATTGTAGAAGACAATAAAGCCAAATTAACATCTTTAGTGCTCTTTGCAAAAACAGGTCCATTAAAGTTATATATACCCAAAAACATTTCTTTCTAAAACATTACTCTTCTGATTTCATTAGCTCACTGGTTTCCAATAATAGAAAAAAATTTTAGAAATAAATTCTCTGGAATGACTGAAGGACACGAACCTATAAAGATGGCAAAATAAATGAAAATGCTTCTTTTTGAAGACAAACATGTCAATGCTAAAAACAATGCAATTCCTATTCATTTAATATCATTCTCAATATAAACTTTAAAACTTTCCTTCACAGAGCAAATATTTTATTGCCTTATATTTAAACACTTTAATATCTGAGTTCATAGCATGTAAAAGTAATTTAAACTGAGGCCCCCCCCCAAAAAAAAAAAAACTAAGGTCCACCTAGTATGTATTCAATAAAGATGAAAACCTTCAGAAGGGAAACAGACTGTAGGTAAAGAACAGTAAATAAATACGACTAGCAACCCTTTTATTAGTTTAGTTTCCAAAAATTCAGAAAACTGACATAGAAAAAAATACAAAGTAAACGATGGTTATAAATGATACATCCATAATCAACTTTCAGAAAAGAAACAAAACGCAACTTATCAAAATGGTTTTGGGCATAATAGCAAGCTGATCAGTGCTCTATTAATAATAAACATGCACTCCAAAGCACAAGACTAAAACAGTGCTAACCTCCGTGGCAAAGATTTTGAAGAGTATCCATGAGATGTACCACGTCATCAGGAGAAAGACACCGCACAGCCAAATATGGTAGAGTAAGGAGAGATTCAAGAGGCCACTCACAGTGTCAAGGGGTCTATGAAACTGCCTATGAAAACAGAAAATTATTATTTAGTCCTATAATAAAGATAGAATCTAAGCATTTAACAGAATTGGGGTCCTGGGAAACATAAAAATTCTATTTCTAAATAACAGCAATAGACTCCTTTCCTTTTGTACCATATAGAGTTCTCCCCCTAAAACTTCTTATGAGGTACATAAGGGAGCCTCAAGGGAAGAACAGACCTAAACTGTCACTCAGTTTCTTGTGTCCAAACCTTCACTGTCATTTACTATGGAGGAAGAACCAAACCTCTAAGCCAACCATAGAGGCCGGGTAAAATTTTATTATGGCTGCTTTTTAGCTTAATATTTAAAAACCATTGAACACGGGGGCCTCCCAGATGGTGCAAGGGTTGAAACACAACCTATGAAGCAGTTCGCAGCCTCTGCAGCATAAGTTCGATTCCCAGCCAGCCAGGGAGCAGCCCACATGGCACGGCAGACCTCTCCTGACTCGCCCTGCTGCTCCCCTCAGCAGTGTACTTCGGTCAATCTGCCTGTTCTGTTTCCCACTCTGTCTTTGGTGAATCCTTTCACCCACCTGCACCTCTGGCCTGTACCCCAGGTCTTGTGAGCATGAATAAATTAATCTTAAAAAACAACTACTACTGGGCCTCCCCGGTGGCACAGTGGTTGAGCGCTGGGTTGCGAAGCTGCCTGCAGCCTCTGCGGTGCCGGTTCTATCCCCGGCTGCTCCCCGGCCACCGGAGGAGGGTCCCACATGGTGCGCAGACCTCTCCTGCTGCCCGCTGCTCCCCTCAGCAGTGTACTTCGGTCCCTCTGCCTGCTCTGCTCCCTGCTCTGACTCTGGTGAATTCTCTCACCCTCCCATGCTTCTGACTGTACCCAGTGCTTGTATGGATAAATAAATAAATCTTTAAAAAAAAAAAAAACCCACTGAACATGACTTAACACTTCTCCTGGGTTAGATTTCAGCTCAAAGTGTATACCATATAGACAGCTCACAGTAGTTAAAAAACAAATACTACCTGAAAATAACATTTTTTACTTTAAAATAAACTACCACTTTGTAAATCAAGTGAACACTATCCCACCAAAATCTTGAATAAATCAACTAGCAAAGTCACCATAATTCTCTAATTACACAACAATTGTAAAAACAGGATTTAAACCTCTACTTCTGCCATTTATAACTGTTCACCTATCCCATCCTCAGCTTCCTCATTTATATAATGGTGGCGTAATCTCTTCATCCTACCTCTTACTATGAGACTTAAAACAGCTTATATTAGGAGTGCCCAGCATAGTGTTTGACATTCACTAGTGTGTGGGGGACACGCAAGAAATGAAGTTATTTGCAGCTTCTAGACAGTTACTGATGTCTGGCATATACTAAGACAGAATACGTGTAATGTCATATAAGCAAAACAATTTTATGTGACAGCAAGGATTAAAAGTATTATGTTAAATTTCTACCAAATATCACTAACATGTTTCTCCTTCCAGTTGATCCAGTTTTAAAATCTAAGTCAAGGGCTTTCCCGGTGGCACAGCGGTTGAGCGCTGGGTTGCGAAGCTGCCCGCAGCCTCTGCGGCGCCTGTTCGATCCCCGGCTGCTCCCCGGTCACTGGAGGAGGGTCCCAAATGGCGCGCAGACCTCTCCTGCCGCCCGCTGCTCCCCTCAGCAGTGTGCTTCGGTCCTTCTGCCTGCTCTGCTCCCCGCTCTGGCTCTGGTGAATTCTCCCACCCTCCTGCGCTTCTGACTGTACCCAGTGCTTGTATAAATAAATAAATAAATAAATAAATAAATAAATAAATAAATAAATAAATAAATAAAATCTAAGCCAACATAATAAATGGCCCATGCATTTGGTTTTATGTCAGCAATTAAGCAGAAGACAAACTAAATTTTACCTAAGAACTTTTAAAAGAATCAAAAGCCATACTGTAGAAACCATAACTTTTCAAACATGTATAAATGGCATAATCCTACTCCCAAAAGTTGGTATTAGGGAAGTCCACGTATATACAAAAAGTCTCAACAATAGAATAATAATTTAAAAAATGAACAGTGGGCCTCCCTGGTGGTGCAGTGGGTTGAGCACTGCGATGTGAAACTGTCTGCAGCCTCTGCAGCGCGGGTTCGATTCCCGGGCGGCCAGGGAGAAACCCACATGGCGCAGCAGACCTCTCCTGACTCACCTGCTGCTCCCCTCAGCAGTGTATTTCAGTCCATCTGCCTGTTCTGTTCCCCAGTCTGTCTCTGGTGAATCCTCTCACCCCCTCACACATCTGGTCTGTACCCCAGTTCTTGTATGCATAAATAAATAAATCTTAAAAAAATAAAAAAACAGTAACAAAGAGATACACTTTTTTTTTTGCCAAATAAAGACAATTTTGCCTCTGTGCAAAGTGTGTGGGGAATAACTGGAACCATACACCCCAGTGCTGCAACTCAGATGACAAATGTCCCCTTCAACTGGTCACTTGAACCAGTGCAATTTTGGTTTCCTTTGGCAAAATGAGTAAAACCACAGCACTGTGGTTGTGTACAACAACAGGGTATAGAATGATTATTGGGGAGGAAAAAAAAAAAAAAAAGACATGTCCATGCAACTCAAGAAGTCCATTTTTGTATAATATAAAGTTATATCTAACAAAAAACAAGTCACTGCTTACTTGTTTTGGGACAAGGAACTAGGTGACTGGAGATGGGCAAAAGGAGTCATTTGCACTATATACTCTTTTAGATACCATTAGTATTTGAACTATGTAAAAATAAGCGTATTAAAAAGGCTAAATCTACAAACATCTGAAAAAAGAGTATCTAAAGAGTTAAAATTAGACTTTTCATATACTCACTCATCTATCTGAAGGTCCATGGCAGTGCTAATCCAAGCTTTAGGAATATGGCCTGAGGGGGAGAAATAGCAGCTGTGAACATAAAACAATAATAAAACAAATCTTATCATGCTTTGGAACATGAGGTTGATGAGATGGCCAAGTAGATACCAAGACATCAGCCAAAATCCTAACCTGTTTGACTAGCAATGGGCAGGCAAGAGAATAACTTCTAAATATAAGCAATTTGGCCCTGCAGTTTTGATATGTATACATTTTAATTACCATGTTTTACTAAATAACAGAAGTCCTCCCAACAACACAGTTTAAATTTCAGTTATCATGATAAATTAACTTAAACAATTAAATTCAGTACTTCTATCTTTGAAGTACACAAATCAGTATAGAGATAACAGACACATACTATAATCCGTGACCAAACACATCAATTCTTTAAAAGTCTGCTGGTCATTAGTCATTCACATCTCTTACTCAGTTCAGGCACAGAGAACAAAGCATATAGTTGTGCTGCCTCCAAGATAACCCCACAAGACAATTCCAAAAATAAATAACTGAAAGAATGAACGGTCAAAAAAGACCAAAGTGCCACCAAAAAATGAAGAGTAGAACTCTGGAAATGAAATTTAAAGGAAACATAAATGGAGTTAAAGAACAGATAGCTGACAACGGAAATGTTGACACAGCCACAATGTCAACCCAAATATACAACTACAGGGAAACAGCCAGGCTGATTATAGTACTTTAACACAATACAATGATGTTTTAACATTAGAATGACAATTATGAGAGCTATGCAGAAAACTGGAAAAAAATACAAGTGAAAAATGTAGACACAAAATGGCCTATACACTGTGAGAACAGCTTTGTAAAATTATAGATAGAAAAAAGAAGTATCAAAAAGTTATATTCTGAAAACAGTATTTTAGAATGTTAGATTTTATTTATATTATTATGTATCACTACTGAGATTAATGTTTTCCATTCATGTGTATTGTTCATTATATTAAATAAGCTGTATTTTATGCATAAAATTCATATTAATAAATTCTACAAGGTTCCCTTAGCAACAGGATATTTCTACTGTTTTAGCATACTGGTTACAAACTTAGTTTTAAAATCGTTTTTTTCTAGAGTAATGACCAAATGACATACAACATTCTCTTTTAAAAAGAATGGATTCTGGGCCTCCCCTGGTGGTGCAGTGGTTGAGCGCTGGGTTGCGAAGCTGCCCGTAGCCTCTACAGCGCTAGTTCGATCCCCGGCCGCCTGCGAGGGTCCCACATGGCGCACAGACCTCTCCTGCCGTGCCCTCTGCTCCCCTCAGCAGTGTATTTCATCGGTCTGCCTGTTCTGTTCCCTGCTCTGGCTCTGGTGAATTTTCTCACCCTCCCACGCTTCTGACTGTACCCAGTGGTTGTATAAATAAATAAATTTAAAAAAAAAATTCTGTGAATAAAAAAAAATAAAAAAAAATAAAAAGAATGGATTCTTTAAGAGATATTTATGCATAGACTCAAAGGAAAGTGACGTGTTTGTTATGTCTCTGCTATACAGCACTCTCATTAACATTAAAATGGACCTATTTGGGGGAGGGGGAAAATGCATTTTTTTTAAATTGTGGTAAAAACATAAAATTTACCACTTAAACAATTTCTTTTTACTGAAGTATAACTGACATACAGCATTTTATTAGTTTAAGGTGTATTATCTTATCATTTTTAAGTATAAATATACTATATGTGTCTTGTTGTATAACAGATCTAAAGATTTCTTCATCTTGCAAAACTAAAACTAACAAACTCTCCTTATCCTTTTCCTCCTAGTCCCTAGCAACTCCTATCCTACGTACGGTTTGTAAAAGTTTGACTACTTTAGATACCTCATATAAGTGGTTTCATGCAGTGTGTTTTTGTGACTGGTTTATTTCATTCAGTATAATGTTGTAGCATGTGACAGGATTTCCTTTCTTAAGGTTGAATTGTACACTTAATACCACAAATTGTTTAACAATATTTTCCCTTAACAACAAACTCTGATAACCTGGACAACGAATCAGGCTAATCACACAACTACAATTACAGGAAACAATACAAAAACATGTGATTACTATGTAACTAACATTTTTTGAATGATGAGCTAACATATATACTGAATCAAAAAGCAGAAATTCTTACCAAGGAAATAATATACAATGCAGAAATTTCTAACCAGGAACAGTGATTCCACACAACTATGTTTAACTAGTAAGAACAGAGATCTTCTAAAGCGTAAGAACTTGTACTGCTGTAAAAAAAGAAAGAAAAAAAAAAATTGACACATCCAAACAGAAATCCTGCTTCATTCTAAAGCAAGTACATAACTACAACACTCCACTTTACATAATCATTGACTAAAAAGAAAGTTTATTCCAGAAACAAAATATCCACTATTTCTGTTTATATTTATGTTATACAGCATCTCACTGATATGAGATCAGAAATGGGGCAATTAAGCCATACTTACAGTAAAGGTTATCAACCTATACTTGTAGTAAAGACTATGGAGATGTGGTAAGTACAAAAACAACAAGAATAGCTAAGATTTTTTTTGGACACTTACCATGTATCTGGTATTGCTCTAAGCACTTTACATGCATTAATCTACTTAAACCTCACACCAACCTGAAGAAGGTTCTATTATTATTATTATCATTCCTATCTTATAAATGAGAAAACCAAAGCACAGAAGAGTTACGTAACCTAACCAATGTTAGCAGTTAGCAGAAGGAAGGTCTGAGATTTTAATCTGGGCAGGCTGGCATCACAGCCTGCAATCTTGTGTGTTTGAGAGAGAGAGAAAACACACAATCTTTATTTCAAACATTTGTTAAATACCATTAGGTTCATTCCTCAGAAAAAGTACAAAGAACACTCCCTGCAAAAACTCAGGAACCAGGTACAGAACAGAGGACAATACTTTAGTTGAAGCCTGACTACTGACCAGAGAATAGAGTACTAAAGAGACTCTGCAAAGAAAAGGAAATCAGCACAGCCTGTAATCTTACAGATAATGTATACCGCCTCTACACTAAACCTCATAAAATATTGTTTGTAGAAAAATAGGAAGTAGTGAAGAAGATACTAGCCTAGCAATGAGGAGACCTGAGTTCTACTAGTGTTTCCTCTTTCAACACAGAACATGGTAAGAAAGCTGGGGTAGCTCAACAACTCCTTGGTGAGTACCTTCCAATTCTAACCATCTAAGAGAAAGGAAATTAAGAAAATGTGTATGTTTTATTAACCAAGTATCGTTTGTCCCTTTCCCCCACCTGCCCCAAAAAGGCCAATGAAAAAACTTAAAAATTACTGCAAGAAATAAAACTACTGCAAAAAATCTGTGGAAAACTAACAGACGATGAACTTCCTAAAATTCTGGTCTTCTTTAATGCTTCTCAAACTCCTTTAAGGAATTTCAGAAGCTAAAGAACAGCAAAGAATTATAGTGCTTAGGTGGAGGTTATATCTTCATACCATGTCTACAGATTCCTACAGTATCATACAAAAACATCCAAGATGAGTAACTGGTCACTAACCATACAGCTTCAAGGACACTAGTCTATTCAAATATTTTCAAAGTGCAAGATGCCGAACTGCACTACTGTGCCCCACTGGGTGTGACCACCTTTGCTCCTTGACCAATTAGAAGGGTGTGGTTCCTACACTGTTCCTATTGCAGCTCTCACCTGACCCATTACAAGGGTCCAGAAGGGCCAGGGAAGCATGTAACCATTTCAGTAAACATGCAGAAAAATTCTAATAAACCCTGTTCTTGCTCCCAAATTGAACAGTCTTTCAATTCCTTGTTGGGATTCTTCTATGATATGGCTATAAGCTACTCTTTACTGAATATTTACTATGTGGCAGGCTCTAAATCATATCTCATTAAATACTTTGTTTCATTGGACTAAAGTTTGCCAAGCCTTGTCTTGGAGTGCATTCATTTCTTTGTCCCCTATTTCATGCTAACACTCTGTTTTCCCACATCAGTCTGTCATTAAGAATTTGATAAGGACAATGGAAGCAGTTTTAGTAGTGCAGATAGGCAAGTTTTTAAAAAAACAACTAATGGGCTAATGGCAAACTGGTTACAAGTAGATTTTAAAAGATCTAATTTTTCATATTGTCACATGAAAGAAGTATTCATTGTATATGTACAATATAAAACTATTTATGGAAATCCTACCACACAAAATACATGTTACATATATACATACACATATAAATGAACAGTAAAAAGTCTAAAAGTATATGAACTGGTCACAAAGGTTATCTCTGAGCCAAAGATTGTGACTGGTCACAATGTGGCTAAAGGGAACTTTCATTTTATCTATAGTGTTTGAGTATTTTATAATAAAAATGTTACCACTATCCTCTTGGGAAACTCACAAGCAGCACTAAAAATGACAATGATATGATGGCTATTACTGCCTATAAAAAAGTTTAATACCTAACACAGTCTGGTCAGCTGAGTGTTAAAAAAAGTAAACAGCTAGTAACAGAGGGCCTCCCCTGGTGGCGCAGCGGTTGAACGCTGGGCTGCGAAGCTGCCCACAGCCTCTGTGGGCAGGTTTGATCCCGGGCCACCGGGGAGGGTCCCACATGGCAGGACAGACCTCTCCTGTCGCGCCTGCTGCTCCCCTCAGCAGTGTATTTCTTCGTCAGTCTGCCTGTTCTGTTCCCCACTCTGGCTCTGGTGAATTCTCTTACCCTCCTGTGCTTCTGACTGTACCCAGTGCTTGTATAAATAAATAAATCTTGGGCCTCCCCAGTGGCGCAGCAGTTGAGCACTGGGTTGCGAAGCTGCCCGCAGCCTTTGCAGTACCGGTTCGATCCCCGGCTGCTCCCCGGCCACCGGAGGAGGGCCCCACATGGCGCACAGACCTCTCCTGCCGCCCGCTGCTCCCCTCAGCAGTGTGCTTCGGTCCTTCTGCCTGCTCTGCTCCCCGCTCTGGCTCTGGTGAATTCTCTCACCCTCCTGCGCTTCTGACTGTACCCAGTGCGTGTATAAATAAATAAATAAATAAATAAATCTTTAAAAATAAATAAATAAATAAATCTTAAAAAAAAAAAAAAGTAAACGGCACATCAAGCTTGCCATTTCCTGACAATCAATCCTGCTTTCCTTACAATTTAAAAGGGTTTAGGGAAGATACAAACTATGCACCATGCTTATTGGACTGATGAAAAAAAAGTTAAGGTGTCCTTTGTCCCCTTCAGTCTTCTGGGGAGGCAACTGTACCCACTTAGGCAAATAAAGATAGTTGCAAACTTGATGTATAAGAAACCAAGATCTAACATTTTAACTACTCTTGCCAAAATTCTCATCTTCCTCAATCCACTAAACCTGCCCAGCAAAAACCCATCCTCCTACCATGTCTAGGCTAGACAGCAGAAAAAATACCACTGCATGCTCATGGTTACAAGAGATAACCCCAAGATATATTTTGTCTAAATATTGACTGGCAAAATGTTAAAAGCCAACATTCTGTCAAAGTTGAATCTGAAGCCAAAGTTTCATCAGAGAATGAACTTTAGTGATGTAAGAATCTAAAACTTTATCAAAGGAAATTATAAGAAATGTGATCAAATTTTACACATTTGTCATCATCTGGTAGAAGCAATAATTCATCAGCACTTTCAATTACCAGACTGCCCCTGCACGCACGCTATTGTTCATCTGTGATGTCTGTATCATTAAACATATGTTTACTTTCAATGGAGGTCCGTAGAAGAGCAAGATGTTTTAGAGTATCTTGTGTTTTTTTTAAAATTTTCTTTTCTTCATCTTCTATATTCTTTATTATATTTAGGTCAAAGATGGATACCATGGATATTTCTGTACAGGATTTTGGAGTTGTCTTCCTTATGAAATTTTGAGGTGGCAAAGCTGACATATTCTGCTTTTAATGCATCTTTACAAAATATAAAGAACTTCTAAGTAACACTTTTTTTCATACACTCAGAGGTTGCAAGGAAGAAAGGCCAGATCCTTTCAGTTAGCACTATCTCCCTGCAAGGTGTATATTTTTATTCATTGTTCTCTTGGATCAAATGCAAAACCTTTAAAGCAGAACCCTAATCTATCACACTCACCTACTTTATACTCTTATGATGCATAGTTTGTTTATACATCCTTCCCTTCCCACCAGACTTGGTCCTAGTGGGAACTAGGGGGCTGGCTCTAACATTTTGCTCCAATGATCAGTTCTCAGCCTGCCATAGAGCAGGAAAGAAGCAAATGAAAGCTGAGTCAGGAATGTGAGACAGGCTGGGGACAGCCTTGATGCCATAGTGAGACATCTTAACCCCATCTTTCTCCTGTCAGAGGAGATGCTCTGAGTTCCAGAGACAAATCCTATGAGATTAGCAAATTTCCAAAATCCCTAAACAAAAGATACTTTAAACTGGCCGACTCAAATCAGTCAAAATTGTTTTTTTATTTATACATATCATTCCTTATTCTGAAAAACAGTTGAGATAGTAACTAACATATTCTATACTTACTTGTACATCCTCAAGCTCATGAGATTCTTAGATTCAAAAAGAAGCTGGCAGCTGCATAGAGGTACTTTGCATAAATTTCATCATCATCTTCCCCTAGCCCTGCTAGGTCACAGCAACTGCCACTACCTAGCAGGGAGGGAAAGAGTGGAGCAAAGTGGTATTCTGAGAGTGGCAGCAGGAAGGGAAGCTACAGTTCTCAAACATATGTTAAAGTCTCATGAAGACAAATATCTCCTCTCCAAATGGCATTCGGCGAATCTCAATCCTAAACTGATCAAATTATGCATTAATGATATGAGGCCAGTTATATACATATATACCAAGGCAATTTTAACTGTCACATTCTGACATAAGGTAATGTTCAACTGCTATTTTACCTGTATGATGGGAAATGGAAGATAGTTCATGTTGTTAATAAAATACAGCAGACTATAGCTATAGCCCATAAATGCTCCGGCCAATAAGAAGAAAAGGTGGTATTCATTTAAGCAGGTTGGTGCAGCAGGGTTATCTAAACTGAAAGGAAAAAATTAAGGTTACTAATTGAATAGTCAGGGACCCAAGTCACTATTTTAGGTTCAGTAAAGCAAGGTTTTGACTTACTCACTTAAGAAATGCCCCAAACTTTAACAAAATGGTTCATTTTGGTAAATGGTTCGTTTCTTTTTTTTTTTTTTAATTTATGTATGTATGTATACAAGAACTGGGGTACAGGCCAGAGGTGTTGGGGGAAGGTGAGAGGATTCACTAGAGACAGAGTGGGGAACAGAATAGGCAGACTGACTGAAATATACTGCTGAGGGGAGCAGCGGGCATATCAGGAGAGGTCTGCTGCGCCATGTGGGTAGCTCCCTGGCCGGGGATCAAACTTGTGGTGCAGTGGCTATTGATAGTTTCATAGGTTGCGTCTTAACCCCTTGCACCACCAGGGAAGCCTCTAAAACCCTTTTCTATGAAGCATGAGAAACTGACCATGCTCCTCTGGAAGTCTGATAAGGCTAAGTGTGTCACCTACAATAGTAAGTAACATTGCTTACAAGTTGGTAAACTACATCTGGACTAAAAGGAACTAACTATAAATAAACTGTATATACCTGATAGAGAAGCCATAACTTCTCTCTGTGTTCTTTCTCATAATTGGACATTCCTTCTGGTGACCCTTTTCACTAAAGAAAAATTATATTAGGGAAAAAACCTGCTTTATATAATAGTAACTGGGGGACAAAAGAAAATCAAGTATTCAGTTATAGTCATAGGACACACAATTATGCCAGTAATTGGTTTTGATTTTTTTAAAAAGCCAGAATAACCCAAATTGCAATCTGTATCAACACCATGTGTTCAAAACTTTATTTTATAAAAATATGCCACTAAAGGCAGTATTTATAATTATTTTTAGCTTTTTCCTTCTTTCTATCCATACTATCCTTCATTCTAACTCCAACCTAAATGCCACTGCCTCTGGGAAGCCATGTGTGGAACCTCTCTACTTTCTGAAATTCTGAGATTTTATCTACACATTCACTTTCTTTTTAGTACATCCTTAAATTCTCCTATCACGTCCATTTGTGTCCATGTCTTAATTTCCCTATTGTTCTCAACTCTCAAGTTCAGTCTGTGTATGAATCACTCATAAATCAACACAGCACTTTGCACAGAATAGTTTTAAAAAATTGTTGAATTCAACAAACATAAAACATCTGATATATATAAAAAAGTATATTCTGTAGAAGTCTGGAAAACAAAGAATGTCCATAAATTAATAACCCACACCTGCCACTTTTGGTTTGGTTGACTATACAAGCTTCTTTGGAAAAAAACACAGTTAATATTACCTCTCAGTACCAGTGCAAGGTACCACGAGAAAACTGTATCGGCCCTTGGTTATCACTGCAGCACACCAAGCCATCATCATTCCCATTGCAGCATGAATAAATGAGTGCATGAGCTGCTGAGGATGAATAATCTTCCCTATCAGTGCCAGTCTGGAGCAGGGAATAGAAGGCACAACTGCAAAAAAACACATTACAGTGGCTTCGTAATTTCAGCACAGGAAGTCAGGGAACCTAAACTATTTCCTCTCATCCTTGCTCCAAAGCATTTGTCCACAAATGCTCCCACGGGCAGGAAGAAACCCAGAGTCAATGTAAAATACAGTACAGAAAATTCTAAATTAAAAAAATTTGAATAAGGATTGAGTACAGAGGTGCACATCCACATGTACACAACCAAAACAAAGAATCTAAAGAGTGAATGAAACCTAAGAACAGTATGATCAACACTTTGCTTTATTAAATTCCCTGGTTGCTCAAACAGTACCTACCCTGGCACTCTTCAAAGTGCCATAAAAAAAATAAACATTTTTAAAAACTAGCTCTTCAAGGGACTATGGTGATGGATCACAAGTGCTATGGTGGTGAGACAACTATGGGGACTACACACCTAAGTGGTAAAGTCAAATTTGTATAAAAATTATCAATGATGTAAGAAAATAAACAAATTTAATAAATTTTTTTTAAAAGGTAGTGCTTGCCTTCCAGTATTTGAAATGGTCAATACATAATCCCTCTGACAAACAACAAACCAGGTAAATACTGACTAGGCTGAAAACTAAAATAAATGCTTGTATAGGAATTTCTAATGCCTCTCTCATAATCTAAAAGCATTTTCTAGAATTGAGTTAGGGAAAGCAGTGTGGGTAAGAGATGAGGGATGCTGATCTTTGAAATCAGCTAGCACAGGGTTCCCAGACCTAGCTATGTAGGTTTTCTTTCTTACTAGACCCAGAATGAAGAGACTGTGGGAGGCAAGAAATTAAGAGTGAAGAGAGAGGGCTTAGGTGCTTTATACTTTGGGAAGAAGCTACTATCACTTCCTTCGCTTCAACAGAAATGCCCACGGGGCCTATGTCCATGCAAGTGAGTTATAATACTCTGAACATATCAAACCTTCTCAGTCTTCTAAGTCTCTTTATATGCAATACCTTTTCCTTGTTTGTCTACTTAATACAACTCATCCGTCAAGGCTTGGTTTATGTCTCACCTCCTCCAGGAAGCTCCCCAAGATAGGTAAGTGGTGTTCCTATGTACTCTCATACTACCCAGGGTATTATAATTGAGTATGCTCAATGTTTACTGTGTCTTTCCATTAACTGCAATCCTGAGGGAGAAAACTGGGATTGTACAATTTACTCTTATCCCCATACAATGCATGATTAATAGTAAATGCATAAGGAATGCTTGTTGAAGGAATGACTAGTCAGTTTTTAGAAATGACTGCCTTTGGGAGCTCTGGTCTGGGATATCTACATACAGATGACACAGGTATATGGGACAGTGTGTGAGAACACATGCTATAAGCCAAGGAGCTAGGAAAACAAAAACAAAAGCAAAGGGTATGTAATATAATATCCACAGTTCATTTGAAATTTTATGTCATATCTAATAAGAAACTACTGAAGACTAAAAAGAATGATGCTACAGTCAAAACAAGAAGTGTCAGAAAAAGCTTCTTATTGTGCCCTAAGGACAGACTCAAGGAATCTGAAAAGAGAAAATTAAGGAGAGAAACAGAAAAAATAAAAAGCTTTGCAATCTAGCAGGTGATTTCTAAAGGTAAAATGAATAATATTTTAAAGTTTTTTCAAAAATCGTAAAATTCTAGACTTTCATATTTGCAAAGGACTTAAGAAATGACCTGATTCTGATCTCCTACCCCAAAAAGGTATTATTTTTACAATATATCTGCTGAATTATCACCTTAACAACAGTTGTGAATTGTTAAAATGTTTTAAAGTTGTTTTTACTCTGGTAAAATACCCCTGAATAAAGTTTACCACTAAAGTCATTTTTAAATGCATAGTTCTGGGGCATAAGTATGTTCACATCATTGTGCAGCCATCACCACCAACAACCTCCAGACTTTTCCATCTTCTCCAATTGGAACTCTGTACCTACGAAACAATTTCCCATTTCTCTCCTCCCGCTAGCCCTGGCAATTACTATTATACTTTTTGTCTCTACGAATTTAAGTACTTTAGGTACATTATATAAGTGGAAAAATAGAATATTTGTTCTAAAAGATCTAAGTATTTTTTAAAACAGAGAAACTAGTACTCCCAATTTTAAGCTAAATCATTCAAAACATATTTTTCTACATACTTTAACATGACACAATTAAAATATGTATGTGTGTGTGTGTGTGTGTACGTATTATATAACTTTGACATGAGAAACAGCCTGTTATACAAACCCACATACAAAATGCATTGAGTTTGCCATTAGGAAAATAAATTTGGACATTTTTAAGGTGGTTAATATCTGAAAACTCACCTGCATAGAATTCCACATTGAAAATACTTATTATTACTATTACCACTGACAGCAGCAGGAGGTAAAAGATTACATAGGAACTATATAAGTCGTTGAAAGAATCTAAAACATAAGAAAGATAATTAGTGCAAGTTCATTCAGGTGTGTAGTTATATACAATAAACAGTATAAGAATAGGATTTGAACCACAACTATAATTTTAAGTTATCTTTGTTTTAAGAATTTACTCATATATACAGCTGACAGGCCCAACCAAATCAAGAAATACAGCATAAGATATTTGGACCAAGCAGAGTGCACCAAGCACCAAGTCCTTTAAAACTATATTATAATATCTTTCAGATGACTCAGATATTAACATCAGACAAAATACAACCATATGTAAAATATATTTCACATGAGAAACAGAGAAATACCAGTTAGTAGTATACCATGAAAGCTTCTTTTCAAATGAAAACATTATTTTTCAGATCTCTTTTTAAAAAAATGCAATTAGCCTCTATTGCTAAAATCAAAGTAACATTTCTGGTAATAGCATTATCTATAAATTATCCAAATGAGCGGAATTTAAAAAGAAACTTGATATTCCTGTAAAATACTAATACATCACATTTCAGATTAGCTCAATAATCAATATCCCATTTTAAAAAGAAGGAAAAGTTAAAAACCTGTTAATTATGCCTAAAAACTTGAGTAAGAGAAATGAAAACAAGGAGATTTTGCTGAATTAACCAAAACCTAATAATGAAACTAAACATTTTTTAAGGTACAATTCATTGACTAAAATTAATGAAGAATATTAGTGTGGAATGTTCAAATCCTAGTTCAGTTACTCATTAGTATGTGTCTCTGCACAGATTTTAACCACAGATTTTGCTGAATTAACCAAAACCTAATAACGAAACCAAACATTTTTTAAGGTACAATTCATTGACTAAAATTAATGAAGAATATTAGTGTGGAATGTTCAAATCCTAGTTCAGTTACTCATTAGTATGTGTCTCTGCACAGATTTTAACCAGAGTCTCAGTTTCCTCATTTATAAAATAGGAATAATTTTATATACAGGGTTGTAGAAAAGCTAAGTGGAAACATCCTTAAGATACTTAGCACAGCACCTGGCACACAGACAGGCAATAATTGGTAGCTATTAACATACAACATCTATATTTTGATGGATTTATCTCTTCCTTTTCATCAATTTTGCAATTAACTCTGTGCTCCCAGTCTTTAACTCTTTGTCTTTTCACCATAATAAAACAATAACGTATTCTTAATTTTAGGCATACTTTTCAAAAAGGACATGTCATATATTCTATTAACAATTTTTAGATAAAAGGAACAGTTCTCTTTCTTTAAAATCTCAAAGTAGCTCTCAAAAAAACTCATAAAATTAAGTTTTCATTTATGTCATCTTCTAATGACTTTTTTGGTTCATGTGATAATACATAGTTTCTGACAGGCTATTTAATAATCTTATATAATGAGAAGATGGTTTATGCTATGAAGGAAATGCCTAAAAATTACTTCAGAATATTTTGGCATGTCAACATAGGTAGGGAGTAACCAAAAATAAATTATTTGAAACATAATTCAATTTTTATGTTAAGAAGAAAAGTCATATAAATTTGTTTTCCATGAATTGAGTATCACTTACTTGACAGCCACTGTATAGGATGAAATAAATCAATGCTGCTGAAGATTATAAATACTGTAGTACAGATGGGTAGAAGCAGCACTGACCAAACAATACTTGAAATTATCCTCCAGCCCAAAACCTGTAATTAAACAAAAACACTCAATCATGAAGTCAGTTAAACTACTTTGATTAGGCAAACACTTCCTTTTCATACAGGATGTCAGGCACTAATATTTATATACAGATCACAGTCCATGCAGCTATAAATAAACCCAAATGGTTACCACTATTAATAACACTACAGAACACTGTGTTATCAGTGAAGTGATGCTTGTATTATAGTCTGGAGTCAGATGCACATTAGATAACACAGGGATGGGGAGAGGGGATTGTCTTATTAGCTTTACAACTGTATTTTATAGCAACTTATACTTGCCTCTCTAGTTTTAATTGATGTCGATATCTAAAAGCAGTATACATTTTATGGAAACTATCTGTATATGGTAATTGTGTTTACAATGACTAGATGCACACTCCCTAATGGGCAACAACTGTGTTGTATTTATGTGGAATCACCAGTGTATACCAGGTAAGAGGCAAGTTTACTGCTAAAAAAACGAATACAAGGAGAGATATTGAAGGGTTTTAAGCATGAAAGTAACAAATGGACATGTTTTGGAGGTAAATCACCCTTGTATTTGTAAAGTGGCTATAATGAAGATGAATCAGAGGGGACAGATTAAGACAGGAGGCAAAGCAATTAGGAGGCAGTCCAGAGCACCTGCCCAAGCCAAAGATTATAATCAGAATCTGAATGAAGGCAATAAGAGTGGGAAAGGAGAAAACAATTGCTGCCACATTTCTGAAGTACATTAAGTCCTCACTTAACTTAATTGGTAGGTTCTTGGAAACTGCAAGTTTAAACAAAAGGGCACCGGATAAGGAAATCAGGTCCTCAAACAACATAATATTGTTGTATGACTTTATTTGAAGACCTGCTGTACAATCTACAGGACTTCCGTGTAATAACACAGGTGGTAACGAATAAGTAATGCTTAAGGACCTAAGATTTGGCCTGGGATAGAGGGTAGATGGCAGTTTCAATAGGGATGAAGCGCTATCCTAAAAGGGATCTTATTCCGCTTTCTCGTTGCCCTCCAAGAATGGATGTAGAACCACTACATCCTGTATGATTCGACTTCAGCAAGGAAGTATCTCATCTCAGCCCCACAGTGCACACTTTCCTCTAACTTAACAAAGGACACCTGATCTGTTCACCCTGTTCCCAAGCCCAAGTCTCTACGAACATCACGCCACATTCTTTCCAATTCCAGATCTTCCCACTTCTCATTCCACGTAATTAACAAGTCACCTATTTTACACCCACTAAACACACCACCCTTGCATAAAACTGTGCCATTCCCTGCCCCAATTCCCATGCAGGTGTACCTTTACACGCACGACTAATCACACTCAGAAAGTCCCGCATGCAAACACCTGTAACCAGCTTTCTTCACCACGCCCCTACCATCCCACAACCACCTTCCACCCAAATGCCCCCCAAAACTGGGTAGTAAGTGCCTCGAGTGGTCCCCTTCACACGCGCTCCCCTCGCTACCCAAGTGCCCGCCCCTCCCCCGTCCAGAGCGCACGCGCCATCGGCGCTGTCAAGCCAGCCCCACCCCAGCAGCGTCCGACCGCGCGCCACAAAGCGTGCAGCACTCACGCGCCACAGAATGTCCCGCGACCCGCCCGCGCTGGGCCGACTCGCAGCGGTGGCCATGGTGATGGCGGCCCCTACTCTGAGCGGTGCAGCAGGCTGCCGGCCCGCCCGCCACCGCCGTTCAAAGGCGGGAAGGCCCCAGAAGGACCTCGTTGGGGCTGCCCCAAACGCTGCCTGAGCGAAGTACGGCCCAGGCCCCAGCCGATCCCTTAGCGTCTTCGTCTGGACTGGCCGAACATGCCAGTACCGCCCCGCAGACACGTCCCCTAAAGAGAGTTGGGACCTCAGGACCCGCTCTCTGGAACCTAAAAGGTCTCTCCGAAGCAGGGTCCTGCGGGCCACCAGAAACTGGGGGCGGCGCTGCATGCTGGGAACTGTAGTCTCCGTGGCCCTCCGGCGGCCAGGAGGAGAGGAAGAGCGTTGCATTCTGGGAGTGGCAGTTCCAAAGTACAGCATGCTGGGAGTCAGCTCTTGCCGTTGGTGCTCTGTGGCATGCTGGGAATAGCCGACTTGATTATTTAGAATTCTGCAGTTAGAAAGATCTTAAAAAATGATTTGCCTTAGTTTCTCCCGATTTTACCTTATAGACTGCCTGAAAGTGATACTGTACCCCTCTCCACAAACGTACTTACTAATTTTAGTGAAATTGAAGAACACTTTCCCTAGAGGTGCATTTGGTTTCCTAAGATCTGGTTTCTAGTTCCAGTTCTGCTGAGGCAGAAAGGGTCTAGAGGAGAGAATAGGGCAGGACTCAAGGACAAAATTTTTCTGTTCCATGGGCTGTAAATAAGAGGTTAAAAAAAGCCAATGACTCTAGGCCAGACATCTGCCATAAATGTCCTTGACACATTGTGGGTTGTTTTTTTTTTTTTTTTTTTTAACTAATATCCCCCAAATCTGTGCATTCCTGAGCTAGCTTTCCACAACTTACAAAGTTGGCTACTGTGGGGGAAAAGGAGTTACAGACACAGAAACAAAGAGGCACAGACCCTGAGGCCAGGCGGGTTCAAACCGGAACTGCAGCACACAGCCTGCAGAAGATATAACTCTGAGGGAGCCATGCATGACTACCGAGTTGCAGTTGATTGGGACTCACAATTAGCAACAATAAATGGACTTTAGCCAAGTCCATTCTCCTTGCTTTCTCAGCCAGTAAAGTTTAATTCCTTTGTTTTCAAACCCTAGTTCAAAAGCCTATATAGACCTATAGCTCTGGCACCTCAGAGACTCTCATGCCCAGAGAGGTCTTTCCTTTCCACCGATCAATAAAATCCTGATTCCTTGTCTGACCTCACTAGTGTCTGTTGAGTCTTTTCCTATTTTGACTGAAGGGTCTCAAGAACACTTTCCTGGATTTGGGAGCATGATCCCTCAATTCCCAACAGGTGGAGTAGTGGACACAGCTGGTTCACTCCCAGGTTATCTGCATATGTTGTTGGAGGGTGGGGTTGGACTGAGAGACCCCCAGTTACCCTAGCATTGTAAAAACAATGCTAATTAGTACCAGAAAACCTCAGGGAAGAAATAGAAACATTATATAGAAATGAAAGTTGAACTAGAAAGAACTTGAGTAAACAAAACAACAGTAATGGCATAAGAAAGGAAGGATTTTTTTTAAATCAAAAAGCAATGAAGAAACAAAAATGACTTTTAAAAAAGCAATAAATAGCAAAGATAGACAAAGATGATCTAGCATATGAATAATAGGAGTCCCTAAAGAATCTGCACTATTTTAAGACACCACTCTCTCCAACAATGTACAGGATATAGGAATTACTTTTTATTTTCAAATTGTCCTAATATTATATTTTTAAATATTTCCTTAAAGTTTTCATTTCAAAACAGTCAATTATATACCCCGGGGCATTTTTATACCCTGAAACATATAGAGATTGGTGGGAGCAAATAATCTTTCTTTCCATCTGTAAACTGTTTAGTGTGGATTCAGTACTTTCAAGAGAAGGTTGTTGACTCAATAAAATGTGATTAGCCATTTCCAAATGTTCCTTAGCTCCTTAGACATCTAAAATTCCCTATGAAACAATATTTTGATTAGAAAAGATAAATTCAAACCAAGTGCATATTTCCTGGGGGGCATGGAGAATATGTAGCTCAGAGTAAACCTGAACTATTTTTTTTAAATCAAACTCCAAGACTTGGGGAAGAATTTCAAAGGCTCAGCATATTAAAAATAAGGATTAGGCTCCTTCTCCTTCAATACCCTCCCTCTAGAACCAAGCTATAATTCTTGTTGACTGGTGGAGTTTTCTCTGCTGCCTGTTCCTCCTCTGTTGCCTGTTTCTGGATAGTTAGGTTTCAAAGAAAAAGAGCAACAAAGAGGGAGGGGTGGGGAATCCTTGAGGGGAAATCCACATAGTATGAGCAAATATGTAATCAGAAAAGCGTTTTTCCTCTTTTATTCTGGGCTAGTTTGTTTACAAGGTCTGATTTTACTGTCTGCTGAAGACATAGACAATAAAATGAAATCTAAGGATGAAGGTGAGGCTACGTGGTGCGTGCCTCTACTCCAAGTACATGAGGAAGAGGCAGCATCAAAGGTTTTTCACACAAATACTTAAGTGCCTGGCAGACAACAGGTAAAGGCTTTATAGTCAGACAAATAATAGATTTTGGTTCTAACTCCCTGCTAAACAAAGGTTGTCAAGAACAAGTAAATCAACCTCTTAGTGCATCAATATCCTCAACTCTGAAAAGGAGTTTTTTCTATATACATATCTAAATTGAGCCCCATTAGACTCCTTTCAAATAATGGGACAGTCATTAATACTGTTCACCGAGTATGTCCAACTCTCTGCTTTTTAAACATATAACAGGATTGCACTTCATGACCCTCTTTGGAGTTAGCTCTTGTTAACTTCTGATTAATGATTTGTGACCAGAAGTGTGTGTCACTTACAAATAGAAGATTTACTTGCCATTGTGAGACCCTGCAGTGTTCTCTTTTCCTCTGGCACAGAGACCAAAAATACTTGAGATGGTAATTCTATCAACTCAGGGGGCCTAAGTGATTACAATGAAGAGTTTCCCTGGCAACCTGTGATGAACTTACAAGCAAGAAATAAAACTTTGTTGTTTTAAATCCTTATTTTGGAGCTTATTGTACAATAATCTAACCTATACTGAATGATACAAAAAGTTTAAGCTAATAAATGCAGTTGCATAAAGAAGTCTTGGGGAGGGAGACCAATTATTGGGGCTTTGGTGGTGTAGTAACATACATCTGAAGAGGTATGAACTTATACCCCTAAAATGCATAGTGTTGTAAATCAACATTGCCTCACTAAAAGGTAATAAAATTTTAAAGAAGATTTTAAAAAATAAAGATGGCTTCAAAATTACTTTAAAAACTTTGTTTTATGAATTACCTTATTAAATCACCCCACCAGCATTTACTCAGCCCTGAGTATGGACCAGACACTGTGCTGGTCCCTGTTGGTGTGCACATTGGAGCACAGACCTGCCTCTCTGGTATACAAGACCCCATCTTTACACACTCACTCTCCTAAACGCTACTCTCAACTAATGCGTGCAGTGGAAATGGTTATCAATTTTTCGTTTATAAGGTTTGTTTTTAGAAAATGGGTGAACGTGGGTCCAAGAAACTAAAGCTCCTTCCTACTTCACCAACAAATATTTTCTTCTCCCTCATGCCTCTGGTTAAGCTGGACTCTGTATCTTTAAAGACCATGTCTTTTCACGAAACCTTAACTATCAAATCTCTCCTTCTTCTAAAAACTCTTAATTCCACCATTCAGTGGATATGTCTGTCTTCCCCAGTGTAGCACAGAAGGCAAAGAACAAAATGTGGAGTCAGACAATCCTACATTCAAGTCCCCTCAGTTGAGAAACTGGAGATCTTGTTTTCATTGAATATCTGTTACATATTGGGCAGTGGGAATTATATTAAAAATTTGCACTTTTGCCCTCCAACATATAATCATTGCTCTTTAACAAATAATTGTGTACAGTGGAAGCCAAAGTGAGAGCTAAGTGAAGCAGGATTCACACCCATATCTACTGTTCAACTCTTTTGTGTACTTTTTCAATGTATTTATTTGCCTACTCTCTCCTTTTTAAAATAAATTACAAAAGTTTGTATTTTTTAAAGTGTTATTTCCTTCATATAACATCTTTAATCCCTTCTATCTGGGGAAGGCAATTACTGTGTAGTTTCGCCCTTATGAACAACATTGGCATGATCTAGTAACTGTCCTTGTGCCCTTCTTTGCCAATCTCTGCTTTGAAGGAATATTCTCTTATTCTTGGTTAAAAACGATAAGGCAATCTACAATTTATAAATGTCCTCTCCATTTTCCCTTCATTTTTGTTAGTTATACTGTATACTTACTTTTAAGGGCACATTATAAACTATAGTCTCTCCCTTATAACCGTCATTCTACAAGTAGATCTATCTTTAGCATTCACTACCTGTTATGTCGCTACCTGTTACTTTACAGTTCATTTGGGTCGTCTGAATTATGTTCTCCCAGAGATGTCTCAGAAAGGTCTCATGAGGTCACTCCCTATGTTCTATGTTGACAGCATTGTCTGAGGCCTTTATATTCGAAAGTCAGTTTGGCTGATGCAAAATCCTTAGCTCACATTTCCATTCCTTGGATACCTGTTACTCTACCGTCTTCAGAAACAAAATGTGGTTGTCAACAAGTGTGACAATTTGATTTTCTTTTCCTTAGAAGTAAATGTCTTTTAGCTTGGATGTCCAAAATATTTTTTCTTTAAAATCCACTAATTTTAGGGCTTCTCTGGTGGCACAGGCAGTTGAGCGCAGTGCTGTGAAGCTGTCTGCAGCCTCTGCAGCGTGGGTTCAATCGTGGCTGGCCAGGGAGATACCCACATGGCGCAGCAGACCTCTCCTGACTCGCCCGCTGCTCCCCTTGGCAGTGTATTTCTATCGATCTGCCTGTTCTGTTCCCCACTCTGTCTCTGGTGAATCCTCTCACCCTCCTGCACATCTGGCCTGTACCCCAGTTCTTGTATGCATGAATAAATAAATCTTTTTAAAAAATCCACTAATTTACTAGAAATGTTTCAATGTCTTATCTTTCCTAGAGTTGATTTCCCTAGGTATCTTTTTTTTTTAATAATAAATTTTATTTTTATATTCCCCATACAATTGCAATCCCCCATTTTGACCCCAATCCCTCCCCTCCTGCCCCCCACCCCCCCAAAAGTGTCTCTGGTTCATAGTTTTTTGATTTTGATTTTCACTTTCTTTACAGTTATTCATTTTCTTGGTCCCTTATTTAAGTTTTCTAGATTCCTGCTATGAGTGAGACCATCCGGTATTTTTCTTTTTCTTTCTGGCTTATTTCGCTGAGCATGATCCTTTCCAGCGCCATCCATGCTGCTGCAAATTGCATGTGTTTATCTTTTTTGAATGCTGAGTAATATTCCATGGTATATATGTACCACATCTTCTTGATCCAGTCATCTATTTTTGGGCATTTGGGTTGTTTCCAAAGCTTAGCTATTGTAAATAGTGCTGCTATAAACATAGGGGTGCAGGTGCTCTTTGGAATTGATGTTTCTGTGTCCTTTGGGTAAATATCCCTAGGTATCTTTCTATGTTGATTTCCCTAGGTCTCAAAGTTTTTAAATATTTTTTTCAGGAAGTTTTCTTTTTTAAATTATGGGGGGAGTTGTTATTCTCCTTCATTGCATTTTTTCTTCTTCAGAGACATGTATAATACACCTTTTAGGTTATTGTTCACCTCTATCTGTCATTTTCTCCTGAACTCTTTGCTATTCCTTTAGTCGTTCTGGAATTAAATTTTTTTTGTCACTTACTCCCTTAAGGCATCATCTGTCATGCAACAACTATGTCACTCTGATATTGCTTCTAATTCAATCTTCATTTTTGAAATGAGTTTTCCATTTACTTTCCAATTCTTTCCTGAGTTTTATTCCTAATTTCTACTTTCTAATTCTGATTGTTCCTTTCTTTTCATATCTTGTGCTATTCTCTTAATGTACTTTAGCTCATTTTCAAATAGTAAGTTATAGCTTTTATCCGGTTTTGTGGGCATGTCTCCTGGAATGCTTCCATTTCATTAAGGATGTTACTCTGCTCTTGGTTTTAATTTTTCTTGTAACTTCATTATGAGATTTGACTGCAGTCCTTTCTGTTGCTCATTTTTTCATGAAATTAGTTTTCCTGCACATTTAGAAGGGAGGAGTGATTCAGGATAGCTTTACTATCTTCAAAGTTCTACAGCTTCCTTTTCTGTTTTCATCAAGTGTTCAAAAATATAACTTCATACTTTGAGATCCCCTGGCTTTGTTTCTCTCTCCACTCTCATTCAGCTTTCCCATTCCTTTGCCCCAAATATACCCGGCCTAACCTGTATGTGCCCATACTTTCTATACTAGTGTTCTGGAAAGACACTTTGGCTGGTTTTGAGAGTTCACAGGATCTGGGCTGTTCTAACCTCCTCAGGCTTACTTTGGTCCCCTGTCACTCATCAGCTGCAAACCCGGCTGTACAAAATTCTCCCCAGTTCTCCAAATGGCCCACTGTCCTTACCACTGAGTTCCTGTTCATGATTTTGGGGATTCCTTATTTTCAGATTTCTCAGATGTCCACCATATTGCTTCTCTTTGCTTCTTCCCACAAAAATGTCAACACCATGCAAGTCTGAGCTGCCAGTTGTGCTTATCTACTTGAATTTTCAGGTTTGTTATAATTTCTTCTCTCCAGTTTTGTTGTAGATGGTATCCATAGGTTTTGGTTGTTGTATCCCATTTGTTTTGCTTTTAAGAGGCAATGCAGGAGATAAGAAAATGTTACTGCTACTGCCATATTCCCTCACTTCTGTTTTTCTCAATTATTTATATGATGCCAACCAATGAAATCAAAGTAACAATAGACAGCGCTCCATTAATTTTCTAGAAGTAGGGGTCCCTAAGTATTATTCCCTCTTCCTTCCTTACCATTAGCATTTTGAAATCAAAAAGCACTTCCCAGCCTCCCTTTCAGCTAGGGGGTGACCGTGTGATAGAGTTCTAACCAACAGGATATAAGCAAATTCAGAGCCCTACCCATCAGTCACTCCCATAGCCTTTGTGACTATGTGTGCTTAAAGCATTTTTGTGTGTCATCCTGGGATCTGGGGTCCTGAAAACATCCTTTGATGTATTGAACCACTTTAAGTGGGGATAGATGAGCCCTATCAACAGTTTTTGCAGAATCCATTTCAAATGGATACTCATATCAGCTCCCAGGGCACTCTGTATCTGACTGTTTGGCTGGACTCAGATGGCCTGAAACCTTTTTTAGCATGCTCACTGGCACCCATGTGAGGGGATAAAGGAACTCTGTTGGCAATCAACTAGATGGGAGGTGCCACCTTGCCTGTGGCACTATCAGGGTAGCTGGTTCTAGTTTTGGATCAACACTCAGAGAAGAGTAGTTGACCACACATCTCAGTAGTTTGGGGGTCAGCGGTTTTGAAAGTGGATACACCAACCTTTCCTCCAGATAGACACAAAACCCTATCTTCCTCTATGGGACCTCCAACTTTTCTGTGAATCCACAGGGCAAGGAAGCTGGGGCATCTGGGTGAGCTGTTTTTTAAGACACCCACAATGCAAGCCAGAAGGCAGTAGGCTCAGTGGGCTCTGCCCAGTGATTCACTCTGCCCAGAATAATGACGATTATTATGGAGTGAAAGCAAAGGAAAATGTGAGGGAAAATCACTTCTTCCATTTTCTTTAGAGGTCAAGTACTATTTGCTTCCAAGCCAAGGTGGGTAGTAGTAGACTGGCTACTAGACCACAGGCCACAGGAAAGTTAAAAAAAAAAAACACAAAACATAAGCAATAGGACATTGGGTGGGGCTAGGAGAAAGCACATTAAAAAAGAGGTCAACTCAACTGACCTACCCTTTTTGCCCTTTCTGCCTTACTTTCCATCAAGAGTTGACCTGTGCTGCAGAGAAATGAGCTGCCAGGTGTTAATGAACATAGTGAAAAGAAAAATGAATCAAGCTTTTAATTTACTATAATAATATACATGAGAGTAAACATTAGTTTATACAAGAGAGTAAAATCTCTAATTTTGTTAAATAGCCAGTTTTTCATAGGGTAAGTTTATTCAAGCTTTTAAAACTGAGATTATGCACTTCCAAATTATTCAATCTTATAATATTCTTTTTTATAAGATGATGGTGCTAATTTATGATGATGGATTGTCTAATCCTTACTTAAAAATTAAATACTGACCACTTTATCATAGAATCTCTAAGCATACTTTTGGAAGTTTACCAGACCACATTTAAAAGTCCTTAGCAATACCCTCACACAGAAAAACTGCTCCCCAGTTCAGGTGCCAACTGCAAGTAATGGATTCCCAAGTTACCCACAATGTCTGACTTGGTGACAAATTGGAGGGACCCATGACTATCTTCTTGGGTTTGATAATTTGCTAGAGGAGTTCACAACACCAAGGAAAAGCTTTAAACACTACAAATGAACCACCATATAAACAGATACATAGGGAGAAGACGAGAAGGGTGCCTGGTACAGAAGCTTCTGTCCCTCTTGGAGTTGAGGTCCACCTCCAGCATGTTGATGTGTTCGCCAACCAAGGGGTTCTCCAAACTCCACTCTTTTATTATTTTTATGGAGGTTTCATAATATAGCCACGATCAATTATTAATTCCATTTCCAGCACCTCTTTATCCAATCTCCAGGAATAGGGGATGGGGCTGAAAGTTTTAAGCTTCTAATCACAGTTTGGTCTTTCTGGTGACCATCACTATTCAGGAGCCCCGCCCCAAGAGTCACCTCATTAAAACAAAAGATGTTCCATCACCGAAGAAATTACAGGGGATTGAGGGGCTCTATGAGGTGCTCCTATCATTCAGGAAATTCCAAGAGTCTTAGGAGCTCTCTCAGGAATCAAGACCAAATATTAGAACAAATTATTATCCTAGATCTCAACTACATGGATTTTAGGGGCTCTGTATCAGAAACTGGGGCAGAGACCAATAATAGATTTCTTGTCCACAATATGATTCTATAGTCAATAGAAGAAAAATTCTGTCACTCTTCGTAAGAGATAGGAAGGGGTGTAATTGAGCTGGGGCACAATTGTTTGAAGAAGAAAATAGCTGCCTTAGAGCCTGAGACTGACAACCACTTAGCAGTGACCACCGGGCTTAAGAGCCACAAGAACAAGGTCCTAGTCTGTTTGCTTGCTGCTCTAGCCCTAGTACCTAGAATAGTGATCAGCATATAGTAGGTGCACAATATATATTTATTGAGTAATTCAAGGTAGGTTGGTAGGTGAAGACTTGGCATCTGATGGGAGGTTTGCCAAGGTGACCTAAGCTCATTCTAGCCTGAACTTGGGTGCACCTTCCTTTATCTGCCTTTGAAGTCGAAATGTCTTTGTAGCTATCTCAGAAATACATAGGGAACTCCTGTCCTGACAAAGACAACAAACACCAGGGAATCAGCAGTTCTGACCTGCCAGCAGCAATCCCTCCTGGGTGGTATGCATTTTGAATAAAAAGTAAAAAAAGTATGTTTCAGGTGTCACTGGTTTCTCCCCTCAATGCACCCTAGCCAGGAAGTCATGCCACCTTGAGGAGGTTCTCAAAGTACTCTAGAAAAATTTTTTTAAAATCTGTATGTCAAAATAGGTTGCAGGGCCTCCCCGGTGGTGCAAGGGGTTAAGATGCAACCTATGAAGCTGTCCACAGTCACTGCAGCACGAATTCGATCCCACGGCTGGCCACATGGCGCAGCAGACCTCTCCTCGCCCGCTGCGCCCCTCACCAGTGTACTTTGGTCAATCTGCCTGTTCTGTTCCCCACTCTGTCTCTAGTGAGTCCTCTCACCAACTGCCGCCCGCCCCCCCCCCCACCTCTGGCCTGTACCCTAGCTCTTGTATGCATAAATAAGTAAATCTTTAGGGTAAAAAAAAAAAATAGGTTGCAAGTGAATACTTGCACTATTCCATACTTACATGAGGAAATAGTCTGAATGTCCATTTTAAACTTCCTTCTCCCACCACAACAGTCAGTTCATTAAATCAGATCCCCACCAGCCTCCAGTATATTAAAGATAAAACAACATCAAGGAAGAATTTGAGGTCAAAGTCATGAAGTGCAGACACAGATGCTATTTAAAGTACGTATTAGCAACCAACAGATTCAGGTGCCCAGTGTCAGGTCGCCAAAGACAAATTTTCAGGTTCCCCATGAATCCCCTCCAAAGTTCACATTGTTTGGGCACTTTAGGATGGCAAACACTGGGCGAGAAAAGCATCACCTAAGTAATCTGTACACAATGCAGAGACATCAGAATCAGTATGGGTCCATTTCAGGCACAGAGGGTGTATTTAAGGTGAAGCACTGTGCAAGTACTTCACACTTTGAGTCAGGGGCAAATGACGGAACACTTGAGTTCACCCAACCCATGTCCTGTGTTTCAGTCCACATTAGTGTAGTCACAAGGGTAAACTGATGGGTGAGCAGAGAAGAGTTGAACAACATTTTATTTTTGTTTGTTAAACGGGCAATTAGGCTCAGTACAGCTGCCGGGGCTTCGTGTCTTTCCATCAGTTTTCCTCCTGGCTTTGGTCATTCTGCTTGCCTGCAGTGAATGCCATGTGCAAAAGAACCACACTCCAAACAAGTAAAAGAGAACTGGAAAACAAAAAGAGTCACTTTCAAGGCGAAGATGCCCCCTTCAGAAGGAGTTATGTTACAGAATAGGGCATTACTCTATGTTTAGAGGGATTACTTCAACTCCAGAGCCATTTGCTGCCACAAACTCCCAGAGGCAGAAGCCCTGAATTTTGTGCCTCAAGAAAGCCTTACTGGGCCTCCCCGGTGGCGCAGCAGTTGAGCGCTGGGTTGCAAAGCTGCCCGCAGCCTCTGCAGCACTGGTTCGATCCCCGGCTGCTCCCTGGCCACCGGAGGAGGGTCCTACATGGCACGCAGACCTCTCCCCTCTCCTCCACCTGCTGCTCAGTCCTTCTGCCTGCTCTGCTCCCCGCTCTGGCTCTGGTGAATTCTCTCACCCTCCCACGCTTCTGACTGTACCCAGTGCTTGTATGTATGTATGTATGTATGTATAAATAAATAAATAAATAATCTTTAAAAAAAGAAAGCCTTACTGCTGGAGGGGAAGTGATATTTTTATAAGTTTCCCTCTGTTTCTTTGGAAACCCAATGACGTTCTGTCACCCAGATCCCAAAGCCACTTTTACTCAACCTCCTTTTTCTCTCTTCTTTCTGACAGTTATGCCAACTGCCAGAGGAAAAAGAATCAAGTAAACATGGAGAAACATTAAAAGATTTGGGGACTGGCGAGCTGTCCATGGTTGTTGAAACATAAGGTTATAGAGGCAACAATGGCAGGGCCTGACAAGAAGTTAGGGACAGTTGATGGCCATGAAGGAGCTTGGATTTGGCCTTCAGACCATTTGTTCTTTAAGTAGAGGAGTGATACAGTCAAAGGCACGGTCAGACTTGTAAATTTTCAACAATCCCTCTGGCTACACACAGGATGAATTGGAAAAAGACAAAGAGAAGAGATGGAGAAATCTATCAAGTTATTACCACAGTTCAAGTATGAGATGACTGGATCCTGAGCACCGAATACAGTACTCATAGGACAGATGTGAGAAAAAAAAGAAGCAGAGGCAGAATGGGCAAGTCTTGTTGACAGAGAAGATATGCTAGGTGAGAGAGAGCAATTCACATTGATTCTGAGGTTTTTAACATGGTGACTAAAGGAATTTCTTCATTAATTCTTCCACAAATATTGATTGAGTGCTCAGGTGCCAGGCATGGGTACAATGATGAATAAGGTGACATGGTCCCAATTCTTGAGAAGCTTACAGTCTAGCAGGGTAAACAAAGACCTAACACACTATTTATATGATTATAAGGTACTCTGAGAGAGTCTGATAAAGAATCTAAACTAATCCAAAGTTGGCGGGTGGGTCCAACTCACTGAGACAGGAGAATATGAGGAGGATTTGGTTGTAGGATACATAAGTTTTGAACATAAGAAATCTGAGGCACTGGTTGGTCGACCAAATTGCAGATTTCTAAGATTTCTAAGAATTGGGAAGTTGGAAAGAAGGCTAGAGATAATTAAATCCAGGGGAGGTGAAGGAATGCAGCAGAGCAGGGATCCTAAGGTGGTGGTGGTGGGGGGCGGTCCTTCCACCTCACACATGTGTGAAGCCTTCTGGAGAGCTTGGTGGGGAAGGGTGGTGGTGGCAGTATCACAACCCAATGGCAGCATCTGACCACACTGTGAAGGTGAGGCTGAGGCAGGCCTATCTGCCTGAATCTACTGGCTCAAGAAAGGGGAAAAGCTGCCAACAAATTATCTGTGAAAAGCTGTTGGAGAAGGGTGGATGCTGTAATTTGCTGGAGTTGAAAGAACCTAAAAGTCCTGACCAGCCTGCTGGTAAACATCAGTTCAGGTTTCTGAAATGCTAAATAAAGGTAGGGACAAACCAGCCCACAGGGCAGGCATTAAAGGTTTTATTTTCATAAGTATATACTTTGCTTTTGTTTCGACTTTCAAGTTGTCTGTTTCAAATTAATGTCAAGACTAGAGGACAATTTAAAGACAGAAAATTCCCTCTCCTGCTGCCAGCTTTTTCGTGGGTGGCCTATAGGACAGAGATTAGGAATTCCTGGCACTTAGACCAAAGGGTGGCAAGTAAGATGATGCTGCCCTTTGAGCCAGACTTGGTCCATAACCTCAACATCAGCCAGGGATCCCTTGTCTCTTCCAGCCAAAGACCTGACGCTTGGGCACTTCTGACTCCCCACCGTAGTGGCCAGTAGCATGATGTGCTCCCTTCCTGGCCCCAGTCCCACAGCCAAGTCTGGACAATATCACCATCACCTGACCTGGGGTTTTCCAACCAGAAGCTCCCAAAGTCATGTTTCTCTCTTTAATTTAGGGGAGCCATCTAGTCTGTGAGATATTTGAGATATAAAAATTAGGATATAAAATTTGGGAGGGTAAGGACTTATGCCCACTGATCACCCTAGTAACCCAGCAAAAAGGTGCAAAAAGTAGGACCTAAAGAAATAAATAACAGTCATCAAGTAACCTGGCAAGTTTTAGAACCAGGAGAGTTTTGAGTACCATATCATATGCATATCAACTGTCATCTGTTAAAAATCAAACTTCCCTAAGCACCTACTGGGTGGTGGGGTATTTATTGGTAAATAAATTGGTAAATACAGCTCTGCCCTCAAGAAGTTCTCAGCTTATGAAGTTATAGTAAATAAGAAAATTGCCATAATAGAGGAACAGACACAGAACAGACACAGAACGGAGGAGTCAGAGAAGTAAGCAACAGAAACTTCACCAAGCAGAGGGTATCTTAAGTGGGTCCTAAAGAATAAATAGCGAATTTCTAAGTAGACAAGGGCATTTCAGAGCGCAAAGGAAATCTTTAAAGATTTTAAAGTACTATTTTCAGTAATCACTGGTAGTATTGTTACTATTTATTATTAGAGTGTTGGGGTATATGGTGTGATCAAACCGTCAAGTCCTAAGGTGATAGTCCCATTCTGTCATTGCTGGTGTTGGTGAACAGGGACATTCTCAGTATGGGACAAAGGAAACAGTAGATATAAGAGAAAAGCAATTTCTTAAAAACTCTGTAGTACTGAATAGGAATTAGAAATATGAGTATGAACTCTCACTGTAGCGTCTTTAACAGAGAATAAGCAAACAACAAACATATTTCCTGCCTCTGAATACTGAGAAGGCCTGAAAATAATGACTAAACCTGCTGGCAACGAGCACCCCAGCATCCAGATTGTGATCTGCAAATAATATTTTCAGGACTCCCTAGAGAAAGGGCCTGGAATAGAAAATGTTAAAAAATGGCCCTGGAGCATTTTGTCATGACTGACAGAAAGGCAGTTATGAGGGAATCCTAGGGCCATGCCAACAGGACTCAGCAGCCATTGGCAAACAATAAGACAATCTGAGCATCAATAAGCATAGCATTTGCAGTGGACTACAGCTGAGTGGTCACTGCTGCAGAGTGTGAGTGAATGACCTGCTCTGCTGAAAGCAGGTAAATAACAGGAATCACTCATCCTGTTTTTCTTATCTAAACTATAAAACCAAATGGTGGATGAAGGGACATTTTTATTAAAGAAGTATTGTATCTAATAAATAAACAAACAAGGACTGCTTGAATTGATCTACCACCATTTTGAAAACCCTAATGAATTATCAGATCTAGGCATTGCTTTATTAATGGCTTCTGCTATGAGAAAGAGATAATTAGAAATTTTGGGTTTATAGATGGAAAAATTTAACAGCACATATCAAGTAGTCTCGCCAAACTAAAAATTAAAAAGCTTGAATCTGCTCAAACCTTTAGATACAACCATCAATTTACAGAAAACAGATGCATGAGCAATGTGTTAAATGACACCATGGAGACACAATCAGCAGAATGAGAGTGAGATAACTATAGGATAAACAATTCTTCAACAAATAAAGGGCAAAGGGAGAGAGAGGGAGGTGTAGTAATCTATAATTTAAAAGACATTTAAGAGATACATCAACCAAATGTAATATGCAATTCAAACACTGAAGTATCCTTGATATTAAGGAGTCACAATTTTCTAGAAGTTATTGTGTTATGATTGTGTTTCTTTAAAGAGTATGCTGTGTAGATATAGAATTAAAATATTTATGGATGAAATAATAGGATGTCTTAGATCTCCTTCAAAATAATACCTGGGAAAGAGGTAGGGAATAGGAGGATGTGAGAAGAAACAACACTGGCAATGAGCTGACAACTGTTGAAAGCGGGTGATGGGAACATAGGGATTTACAATACTTTTCATTATACTGTATATATCTATCCATATTTAATGTTTTCCACTAAATAAGTTAAAATAAAGTTATTGTGTTGACTCACTTGCCATCCCAGACTGCCCCAATTTACTTCAAAGAAAGGGAACAATGAAGAGAAAAATGAGAAATAGCATAGAACGGAAAATGAAGTCTCTGGACAGGCACATTTCAGACATGGCGTGGAAAGAATAAGGGGCTGGTAGAAATAGTGTTAGCTGTAGTGTAAAGTCATGTAGTTTGGGTGCGGTGTTAGGGGGGATTACAGCATTAAGCTAAAGCTGATTTCAGAATCAGAAAAGAACATCAGTACTTTTATAACCTAGCAGAAGGTTTGTAGCTTTGGCTTATAAAATGAACACTCTTGACATGAGTGAGTGAAAGAATACCTGCATATAAACCCTGTATATCAATGCTGGTGAGTGAGGTGGGGTGATTATACCCGAAGGCCTCTGCTCATCTCTTACTAATGTCCTCACCACACTGCAGTATAATCATCTCTGGCTGTCCTCCGCTGGACAGTTCCACTTGTCACAGGCCCTGGGAAAACAGTCCCAATCAGGATGTGATCTTTCAGGTATCCATCCCTCAGACCAAAGTAACACTTCCCAGGTACAGAATTTAGGTTTTACCAGGGTCTTGGCTCAGGGAAGAAATGGCACTCGTACTCATGGGATAAATTAGTTTTTAAAAATGAAGAAAGGATGGAAGATATTCTTTATAACATCTCAATGACTTAGTATGTGGGGGTAGTGTCCCTGGTTACAAGTGTCTCTGGAAGCTCCCCTCTGATCCTGAGATTCCAGAGAGAGAGAAAAAGGGTTAATGCCTCCAGCAATCCATTCCCAGGTTAAGCCCTCCAATGTATGGACTTACATGAAAAAGATTATCTGTGAGATTAGAAGCTATTCTTTTTCACTGAAAGCTGGGAGTCCAGAGATTACAATAGAAGATATAGCCAGCGCATAAATCTGCAGTGCCCAGGGCACTGGACAGTCCCTCTCATTGGCAAAGCAATTGATGCTTCTGCCAGGGAGGCTCCAAAGAGAGTATTCATCACTATCTCATTTGGAGGCATGACACCCACATGGAGGCACTGACACCCAAGTTTATAGAGCTGAGCAAAGTTCACAGGTGTTAAATCTGTGAAAATTAGGATGGAGGCTGCAAGGGCCCTGAGGTCCAGGCTCTTCTAAGACTCCAGCCCTGACTCTCTGAAGGTTTACAGTTGGGACTGGGACAGATGTCAACACAAATTACAACTCACTCTCAGGGGGCTGTAGGTTTGATTTTATTACTGAGCACTTTAACTTTGTGCCAGGAGCTTTTATAAACATGATCACTACAATCTTATAACATAGGTGGAGTCATCCTTATCATAGCTAAATTACTGGAGGATCAGAGAGAATAAACCTTGGCCCTAGGTACACTGCTGATAGATAGTAGGCTAGGGGTTTAATTTAAATTTTATTTGACTCTTAAAGGCCTTGGTCAGGGAGACAGAAGCTTGAGGAGAAAGGTCAGGTTGTGATTACAAAACACAGTAAAGGTTCTTGGTCTAAATGGAGACTACTAGAATGTGGGCTCATTCTGCAAATATTTATGGAGCACCCACTGTATCCAGGACATGTGGTAGGCAATGAAGATATAGAGTAACACCCACTCTTTGCTCTCACGAGCAGAGCCTAATTGGGGAGACACACCAGTACTCTGGGAACAAATGAATGAAGGAGTGAACAAAAGAAGAGGCAAAGGAAGAGATAGTGAACAGTGTTTTGAATACTGGCAACAGAGTGGTGTGTAATGTAGGATGCAAAGGGATCACATGGTAAGTGATGACTATAGGGCGGAAAAGAACATTTTAGACAATTAGAAAAGCAAGTGCAAAGGCTCCATGTGCTCTGGCAATGGCAAGGCCAGCAGAGTAAACTGTCATGGCAAACTGAGGCAGTAGAATGAGAGGCTAGGAACAAGCCATGGAGGAATTGGGTCTTTTTCCTGTATTCTCACCTATTGAACTAGGCATTGAGAGTGGAATCATTGAGGAGACTCTGAGAACAAACTAGGCATGAGAATTTATAAGCTTTGGAGAATTCATAAGCTTGGGTTAAGAGAGGTCACACTCTGGACCTGAGGCCAGTCTGAGAAGTCACAGAGAAACCAGAAAAACTGCTATGACCCTAATCAAGCAGAATAAAACCATACTGTACAGATGGGATGGGAGCAGGGAGGAGAGGAGAGGGGATAGTGGGACCAACAAACAGGAGCCCTTCTTACATAAGACTGTAGGAACTCATGTTCCCCAAATCTATGAAGTCATGTGGATTTTGGCAAGAGCAACCCACACATACAGACAGGCACACCCCCCACACTAAATTATGAGGGATGATGAAAGGATCTAGCCCTCTCTGTTCTTATGCTCAAAGCAATGGAACTGATGCATTGACCTATTTTTTTTATTGCACTACACATTAGGAAGATAAAAATACAAACTTACATTCCTCTTTAGCTGGACCTGGCTGCTACAACTGTTTGGTTCGGAGCAGATGTAGCTGTTGGGAGATGGTCCATCTCTGGTGCATCAAAAAAGTATGCCTGCAGGAAAAGGAGACCCATGAGAGGAGAACAAAATGGTGATCTGGGTAAGTGTCCTTCTAGACGCCACACTTGATAGTAATTCTGGGCTTTTCGTGGGTCCTGTGTTTCCCCTACCAAACTGGTCATTACACTGTGCTAAAATCATCTCTGTTTCTGTCTCTCTTACTCATTCAACTGTGAGTGCAATCTAAAAATTAGCTACCATTGATGGAGCATTTACCAAGTATGACTTAATCTTTCAAAAAAATCTGATGAGGTGGTTATTATTATCTTCATTTGACAGATGAAGAAACCAAGGCTCAGAGGGACTGCCATTCATCAAGTACAAATGGCTAATGAGAGACCTCAATGCTGGATCTTTAGGACCTCAAAGCTCAAGCTTCTAGTCACTCTCTTATATAGACCCTCCTCCAGGGCTACTACTGCATTCGCCTTGTCTTCATGTCACCAACACCTTGCATAGGGCCTGGCATATTATGGAAACAATCAGTACTTTGATGAACTGAACTACACTAGATTGCTGCAAAACGAGCATCTCCCTGTAAAGACCTTTAAAAGTAAGAGTGGGCTTTATACCTCTTAATTCTTCAGCTTGGAAATGAAAGGTTGGATAAGTGTTCCCACTCACCAGCTACAATTTAACTGTCAAAAATCAGAAGGTGGTGGAATAGGGATTTTCTCATCTGTTTCACAGTCTGAGAATCCTAACTTTAGCCCAGGAAAACACCAACCTCAGTAGCCAGGAACACAGACTGCTCAAAGGAAAGGGGAATCTGTTAATGATCTGCCCACTCCCTCTTCTAGGGCCTCAAGAAGGGAAAAAGCAAAAAACCCTCCAGAACCATTTCACCAGCTCTGCGCCCCATCAGCCAGAAGGGGGCACCAACATGACACGCTGGTGCTTTTCAGACATAGTCCCACTCCCTTAACTCTTCAACTGCCCGTGCCAAAAAGTTTCTAGCTGCAAATTCCTTTCAGTTTGTCACATGTTCAGAGCAACTCTGTGACTTTTAAAAGACTTCCTCCACAGAGCCCTTTAAGGCAGCTGTTTACTGAAGCAGGGAAAGAAGAGTCCCTGACTTTCAGGGGAACAAGGACCACATGGCTAGTGTTGGCTCCCCCAAGTTACTTGCAGGTATATTGAGCCAAGAAGCCTCTATTATGCAGGAACAATGCCTTGCTTCCAAGCCATCCCTCATCTGAGAGGAGCCAAGAGGCCCAGGTTCCAAACAAACTCACAAGTCACTACCTCATGGACCTCAGTTTTCTTTTCTGTAAGAGAAAGCACCGGGAAGGACCATCTCTCAGGGCAAACTGCCATTCCATGATTCATTAATTCCATTATTATTCAATAATAACCACCACAGTGATCATTTGCTGAGTGTCTACTGTGCATCAGCACATACTAGGTCATTAATCTACCTGATTAACCTGGTAATAGACAACTTTAGCCCTATTTTAAAGATGAGTAAATTGAGGCTCAAAGAAATAGATTTCCCCAGGGCTGTGATGACAATGATGTGTCTGAGCCAGGATTTTCATCCAGCTATGTCTACTCCAAAGTCTATGCTCTTCTATTCTCCAACACATCCTATAAAATTTGGCACTTTATGCCCAGCCCAGACGCAGGCCCAGTGGAGGCCTCTGGAACAATCAGTTTCAGGAGTAGGGGTGGAAATGTCACCTGGCAGATAGTTAGGGCACAGGATGCAGAGTAACTACCTCAAACATGGGCTTAAACATCTCCAAACACACCAGCCAAGAATGTACTCTAGAACCTCCCCGGTGGCGCAGCAGTTGAGCGCTGGGTTGCGGGGCTGGCAGCCTCTGCAGCGCCGGTTTGATCCCCGGCTGCTCCCCGGCCACCGGAGGAGGGTCCCATATGGCGCGCAGACCTCTCCTGCCGCCCGCTGCTCCCCTCAGCAGTGTACTTCGGTCCTTCTGCCTGCTCTGCTCCCTGCTCTGGCTCTAGTGAATTCTCTCACCTTCCCAAGCTTCTGACTGTACCCAGTGCTTGTATAAATAAATCTTTAAAAAAAAAAAAAAGAATGGACTCTCATCCATGCCTGCTAGTGTGCTCCAGAACCATCTTCAGAGATTGTGTACAGGTGCAAACACCCAGGGGCTCTCATGCTTCAATGCACTAAGGCAAAAATGCCAAATCATATTTCCCAGGGGAGAGGGAGAAGGCCAACCTGTCTGGTTCAGTCCATATCCCTCAGCTCAAAAACTCCCCTGCTAATTCCCCTGCTCTTCCAATAATAATGTGCTCTGTTTGTATGACCTGCCACATCTTTCATGTTATACATATCTTCAATCTTACAACAGTAATTTTACTATAGGTCCTTTTGCTAAATGCGGCAATAGGGGTCCAGGAATGGAAAATGACCAAAGCAGGAAGGGATGGGGCTGGGACTCTCCTAACCTCTGCCTCAGTCCTCTTGTTATACACATCTCCTCCAACAGAGAAGGGACAAGGTGCCCTCCAGCAAAACCCCAGGCACTGTGGGGCCCTGACAAAATACCTGATCACTGACGGTTTCCTTCCCCAAGGAGAAAACTCCCCAACAAGAAGAGGTACCATTCCAGCAATTACCTCCCTGCTCCTCATCCAACCCACCCTGTTCCTCTGAGTCCCTTGGAACTGCAGAGGGGCAGGCCTTTTCTTCCCCCAACTTTTCAACCAGGTCTGTGATGGGTAAGAAGTTCAGGGGACAGACAGGAAGATACCAGTGAGAGCTGTACCTAAATGACAAGCACTGTCTCTAGAGCGGGCTGCTCAGGCTTTCTTCTATGCTCTCACAGTGACTTTGGACCACTCGCAGTGGGTGCACAGGCCAAACCAACAGTTCTCTGCCCCAAGTGTTTAAACTTAGGCACACGTAAAGTACACACAAACCAAGTCTGTGCTTCAGAACTTGGCACTTTTTATGAGACATGATCAACAATAAAGTATTAAGATCTTATTAATGTACTTAAGGAGACTATGGTACATTAGTCTCCTAATGTACAAAAAATTATTAAAGGTCAATGGTATGAGAGAAATATTTTACTCCTACAATTGCCAAACCCGACCAAGGGTCTGCATGCGCTCTGTGGACTCTTCCTGTGGGCATGTCCTTTCCTTCATCCGTGACCTAAACATTCTTGGATTTGGAGTGTTTCAAAACCCCCATTGGGCTCTTACAGCTGTGGACAGCAGTTTTTGTGCACAGCATGTACACAACCATGTCTCCTTAGGATCCAAGGAGAGGAGGCTAGCTTGTAGATACTGCAGGGCTATATGCTATGTCAGTGCTGTGACAGGAAACAGTATGTTCATGTTACAGATGGAGGCATTCAGATTCAGAGAAGTTAGGTCCAAGCTCACACAGCCAGTGAGTGACAGAGCTGGTCTTTAATCTGGGCCTGTCTGAATCAAAAACATGCTCTTCTAAAAGATATGTAAATGCATGAACTCGAAAACTATTATAAATATTGTTCACCTGAAAAACAACTCTACATTCCTATTGGACTTCATTCTTAAACTTCATACCTGTGCAACTTTAAATTTGTGTGCAGAGTATCAGCAAAGGCATCCAAAAGCACAATTCCCCATAGCCCTGCTCCCAGTGCCCACCCACTTCTGCTGACCAGGCACGTTTCAGGAATTAGGTAAATCCAGAGAGTGCAATCAAATTCTCACGATTTTAGCACTTCTCATCTAGGAGAGTCTATTGAAAATGATACTGATTTCATGGAGCCAGTTTTAAAAGAACCATCATATCTAACAGTTTTTGATGCATTTGCATCAAAAGCACCACCAAATGAATGCAGGAATAAGACTATACCAAGCAGCCCACAGAAAGCAGTATGTGAAGCAACACGATTGTCACAATTGTGGCCAAAGCGATGCGCCGGTTATCCTCACGAACAGCCGGCCAAAATGTCATTGCCAACACAGAGCCCGAGATGCCCAGGGCAATCATGACTAGAATCCAGCGCACAGCTTTCTGGGGGATAATCCACAGTATCTGAAAGAAAAAAAGAGAGGGGAGGGGTTTTTGGGGAGGCATTCAGAGAGGCATTTGTTCATTCCAGGCACACATGTTTATAAAGGCCCCTGAGCCAATCAGCAACCAGGCCCCCACTGCCATTCCAGTTTCTCAGTTCAGCCTGGATACACCACTAGCATGCAGAGAGAGGACACTGTGCAAAAGGACTGGAGATCCAGTGAAGGCACTTGGCTCCCCAACCTCCATTCATGCTGAACTTCTACAAGCAAAGGGTATATTTCAAGTGCTTAGGCTAGACATGATAATGCTGGCTGAATTTCCAACCAAGAACAGGGCATTGCTCAGAGTAAGTGTACTTACTGCTGTGGGGATATAAATGAAGAGTGAATATCCATAGACGCACACAATCTCCAGAAATGAGTAGGAAACGATGTTCATCACTTTGCTGTTTCTCCACACGAGGAAACCCCAGAGTGCGAGAGGAACCAGCCAGGCATAGGCATAGATGATAGTGGCTGCTATGGACTTGTTTCTAATGGAGCATTTCTAATACCTCACTGGACTTATTTCTAGCACGTGCTGACATCTACTCCATTGGATCATGGGATCCTGTCTGACTGGCCTTCACAGTTCCTGAACCTGGCACAGCACCTGACACATAGTAGGTGCTCTATGGAAAAGGTGATCTGAATCTTTGGCATTTGCCTTTGTGGTGGTGATCAGCTGTCTTTCCTATGGCCTTACAATATCACTCAACAACTGAAATACTTCAGAGGGCCACACTACAAGTGTTTAAACACAGTGAGCATTTCAAACCAATAAAAGCCACTATCCCCTTGGAAGAACACGTCCTCTTTCCTAGTATAACAAGAGCTCACATTGATTTCTTTAGCAAATTTATTAAAATGCCCTGGGTACAGATGAACTTGCTCTGCATGCTATTTAGATTTTATTCTGTTTCTGAAATTTCAGCTCATTGTTCAACGTCCCTTTCTCTCACCCTAGAGGATTTTTGTTCCTTCTTTCAGAGTACAGATCATAGAGCCTGGCTAAGCCCATGGCACCAGCCCTCCCTGCATGTAAATATGCAAATAATTCACTTAACACTCTTGGCAAAGACAAAGGTACCCCTCAAATTTACAGAAGACTCTGCATAAGACATGTGATTGTCCCAGACACTTTTTAACTCCCAGAGCAGTTTTTTCATATAGGGAACTTACTCATTAAGCCAAATGTCATCATGCTGACTTACTGCCTTTTTCTTGGGTAACTAAGGAAGGAGAAGGGACATACTATTATGACTACAGCTATCCCCTGGGTGTGAGGCATTACACCAAGTGCTTTACTGAGAGCCAAAATATGTAATAATCAAAGGTGCAGACTCCATGGGTTCTGTTCCTAGCTCTGTCACTTAGCTAAGTAACCTTCTTGCCTCATCTGTAAAACAGGAAAATGAATAGTATACTGCCTTGTAAGATTACTAGAGAATTAAATAAAAACTGGTGTAGTTAGTGATTGATAAATGATAAATACACAATCAAGAATAAGCTTTTTATATTAGTAACTAATGTGTAAATACAATATTTCATGTATCTATACCTTTATTTCAAAGATGAGAAAACAAGATCAAAGAAGTTAAGTGGTTTCATCAAGGTCAAATGACTAATAAATGGTGGAAGCGTGATTGGACCCTGGAATGTAACTCATACATAAAACAGAAAAATGTGTACTGGTTGGGCCAAAGACTATTTACTAGTCCACACAACCCATTCTTCCCCATACTGAGACACCCAGCCAGAAGATAATAACAGACACGGCTGAGCTTCCAGACCCTCAGGTAGGGTGATTCGTTCCTTCTCCTGGACACACCTATACATAGATACAGATATTTCTGATACAGAAATTAACATATACCATATACAGCAACATTCATTTACCTGTCCTTCCTTATTTAACCATGGAACTACTTGAAGGCAAGGTCTGTATCTCACAGATACTTACTGAGCTAAATTCAACCCCAGGTCACTTGATAAATGGACTTGGAAAAGAACCCAAGTCTGACTTTATGATGGAGAAGGAAAGATGGGAAATGGACATGGAGGGGAAGGACGAAAAGAAGGAAGGTTATAGGAACACACACGCAAGTAAATACATCTCTCTCTATGTACACATACATAGAGAGATATATAAGTAACAATAGTTAATATTTATTAAACTCTTTCTGGTCCAAGGTACTATTTTAACCTCTACATATATCAATTTATTCTTACAATCGCCCTATAACATGGGCCGTATTAGTCCTATTTCACTGATGTGGAACCTGAGGCCAACAGAGGTAAAATAACTGGTCCAATAAGACAGAAACTAGCGGGTGGTGGAGGTGGAACTTGAAGCCAGTGGCCTGATTCCAGGTCCATGCTCTTACCCATCTCCATGTAACCTCTCAACAGAAGAGCAGGCAGGCAGGCAGGGACACGAGACAACTGAGAATGGGGCACAAGACAATCTCCTTCAAAGCCAAACGTCCTCATTTTGGGTCAGCTGTCATCTACAAGTCCCTCAAAGCTATTTTTTCCTTTAATTATCCAATACTGCCACAAGAACGGAAGTTTTAAAACAAGAAGGTCACCCGCAAGCCTGCCAGTAGGGCACATTCATTCCTGCATTCCCTTCTAAGCCCTGATCATTTGCAGATTTCTCTAAGTTGCTAACCAGCATAGGATAGGCCTAAGTGTCTATGATCAGTCTTCCAAGTTGCTCTAAGCACTTCCTAATTAGTGGCTACAGACCCAGTTATTTGAGTCATGACTTAAATAACAATGCCCCTACTGTTTCCCACATTTGAGTGATACAAATAATGCTACAATGGAGACTTAGAAGCACACTGCTCTTTACTTGTTTTATACATTTTTGTTTCAATAAATTCCAATTGCTATTGGCCTTACAGGTTTCCAGAAAAGTATGCGGGTTCATAACACTATGAATGTACTTAATGCCACTGAATTGCACACTTTGAAATAGTTAAAATGGTAAATTTTGTTATATTTATCTTACCACAATAAAAAAGCTATGCAGATTTATATAAATGGGTGGTAAATTCTGAGACAGTGGGTATGTTTGAAATCTTAAATATAGAAAGCAGGGGCTATATCACCTACAGATAGGGGTTGAGTAGTTCAGTGGGTACAAAGAACTAGGCGATAAAAACTGACAGCATTCCAAACAAGTCAACTTATTCACCAACCTTTTCGGAATTCGGGCACATAATGATATGTCTTCTCTCCCAGATGGATTAAAAAGTTGGAAAGATTCCCGCTAATTGCAATGGCAAACACCAATGTGGCACATATCCAAAAGGGGCCTGGAAGGGGAATCAGAAAATTCAGAGACAAGAAAATGAAGCACCAACTTTTAGACTCATACAAAACCATTTTCTCCCTTGCCCCATTCATATAAGCAGAAGAATTTTTTTTCTAAAGATTTATTTATTTATGCATACAAGAACTGGGGTACAGGCCAGAGGTGTGGGGGGTGAGAAGATTCACCAGAGACAGAGTGGGGAACTGAACAGGACTGACTGACTGAAATACACTGCTGAGGGGAGCAGTGGGCAAGACAGGAGAGGTCTGCTGTGCCATGTGGGTAACTCCCTAGCCAGCAAAGGCTGTGGATAGCTTCACAGTGCTATGCTTAATTTAACCCCTTGTACCACTAGAGAGGCCCGGGGGGCGGGGGGGTGCAGAATTTTAAATGTAATCAATACTCACTTCAGGAGAATTTCCTTTTTTAAAAGGTCAAACATATAACTCAGGGCCTCCCCAGTGGCGCAGCGGTTGAGCGCTGGGTTGTGAAGCTGCCCACGGCCTCTGCGGCGCCGGTTCGATTCCCGGCTGCTCCCCGGCCACTGGAGGAGGGTCCCGCATGGCGCGCAGACCTCTCCTGCCGCCCGCTGCTCCCCTCAGCAGTGTACTTCGGTCCTTCTGCCTGCTCTGCTCCCCGCTCTGGCTCTGGTGAATTCTCTCACCCTCCCGCGCTTCTGACTGTTGCCCAGTGCTTGTATAAATAAATAAATAAATCTTTAAAAAAAAAAAAAAAAAAAAAAACATATAACTCAGTAATTAGTTGCTTTAAATACAGCAGGAATTGGAATGCAAAGGCAAAACACCTTCCATAATTAGGTGAATAAAGACACTGATTTGTTATAGCATTTATTATTTGGAGGATCACCAAAAAAAAATTCATGGACATTTTGTTAAATCATGACCAGGATACAGGAAACAAAGGTTATTTCCCTTACCTAAGTGCCAAATGTTATTGCCAGAGAAAAAATACAGAAAAACAACTTCTGGGGTCTAAATGAAAGAATAGGACAACAAGATACCTCAGAGAAGAGTTAATCTACCGGTTCACCATGGTGACCATGGTGTATGTGAATGTAAGCCTGTTTTATTTTTTTTTTAAGATTTATTTATTTATATAAGAACTGGGGTACAGGCCAGAGGTGTGGGAGGGCGAGAGGATTCACCAGAGACAGAGCGGGGAGGACAGGCAAACGGACAGAGAGGTCTGCCATGCCATGTGGGTATCTCCCTGGTCGGCCAGGAATCGAACCCACGCAGCAGAGGCTGTGGACAGCCTCACAGCGCTGCACTCAACCTGCTGCGCCACCAGGGAGGCCCCTGTTTTTCTTTTAATGAAAAAATAATACACACAGGTAGTTCTGTATTCAAAAGGTACAAAGGGGAATACAGGAAAAAGTGAATGTCCTTCCTTCTCTTTTTTCTAGCTATGTATTTCTCCTCCCTGGAACTCCTTACAACTAGTTTCTGGTGAATCTTGCTAGAGATTTCCATACACATATATAAGCAAATGCATGTTTATGCATGTACATGCACATGTTTTATACAAATAATAACAAACATATATAGTCAAATATATTTCACTGTAACATATCCTGGAGATGCTACCATTGCTAGTCACAAAAATGAACTGACTTTTTTTTAGTGATTATAAAATATTCCATTGATTGTATAATAAGTACACCATACTTTGCAAATGCCTTTCATCATTGTTTTATTTCATGAACACTATACTTATTTTTCATCATTTAGAAAAATTACTTTGTGGAACAAATTTTAAATTGAGAGACTTTAATAAGCTTTATGATTCTCGTTTTTCAATTTCACTAGTATTTTGTAATATCTCTGGGTAATTGCACGCACCTTTATATATCAAGAAAATCATTGTATTGGGGGAGATGACTAGCAAAAATGGATTAGTACTAAAAAAAATGGATTAGTACTTTTCAAAGTCAAGCGAGTTACTGACAGCAGGAAAGCATTGACTGGGATGACCCAAAGAGACACCAACATTGGCTTTCCACAAATTGTTGCTTACCTTGCAAGCTCTCCACTATACTCAAGGACTACGTTTTGTTCTCCATATTTTTCTGAGTGCCTACCACATAAAGATGCAGAAAACAACCAAACTGAAAACTAAAAGCAAAAACCAAACTACAACAAAACATTTCCCAAAGTTTTATTGAATAAATGAATGAATATAACTGACCACGTGCTGTGAATGGGCTGAGGCCATCCAAGCATATGATCACAAGTGATCAAAATATTATACAGTACCCATTCCTAGAAAGCAGTGACTATTGTAGCCTATCTGTCATCATTTTTATTTTATTGTTTTTAAAGATTTGTTTATTTATGTATACAAGAATTGGGGTACAGGCCAGAGATGTGGGGGGTGAGAGGATTCACCAGAGATAGAGTGGGGAACAGAACAGGCAGACTGACTGAAATACACTGCTGAGGGGAGCAGCGGGTGAGATAGGAAAGGTCTGCTGCACAATGTGGGTAGCTCCCTGGCCAGGGATCGAACTCTTTCTGCAGTGGCTGCAGATACTTCATAGGTTGTGTCTTAACCCCTTGCACCACCAGGGAGGCCCTGTCATCATTTTTAAAGTACCCTCTTTTCCATTCTTTGAGCACTCTGAGGCAAGATCCTACCTTAGTGCCTTTGCATTTGCTGAGCTCCCTGCTTCAAATGCTCTGTCCTGGGCCTCCTCGGTAGCACAGCGGGTTGAACGCGCTTTGTGGAGCTGTCTGCAGCCTCTGCAGCATGGGTTCGATCCCCGGCCGGCCAGAGAGATACCAATGTGGCACAGCAGACCTCTCCTGTCACACCTGCTGCTCCCCTCAGCAGTGTGTTTTAGTCAGTCTGCCTGTTTTGTTCCCTGCTCTGTCACTGGTGAACTCTCTCACCCTCCCATGCCTCTGGTCTGTACCCCAGCTCTTGTATAAATAAAAAATAAACCTTAAAAAAAAGTGCTCTGTTCTTAGATAGTCAAATTGGTTGATCTCTTCTTCAGCTTCTGCAGACTGGCATTACTGTCATCTTTTTCCTGACCACCATACTTCAATCCATCTCACAGGGCCCAGTCCGCTCTACTATAAAACATTCTACCTGTATAGTACCTCATAGACAATGTCTATGAACTCACGAGGCTAACAGTGTTATAGAAAGAAGCAAGCGTTGGGTTCAAATTGTTTTATTCATGAAAAGCGGTATAACTGTGATGAAGAAATGGATTATTAGATAGAATGTTAATTTGAAACTGAGCTCAGCCACTTACTAGCTATATGATCTTAGGCAAGGTACTTGACCTCCGTGTGACCCAGTGTCCTCATCTATACAAGGAGATAATAATACCTACCTCATAAAGTTAGGGTTGTTATGAGGAATAAATGAGTAATACAGGTTCTTCCCTAATAACAGTGGCACATAATAAGCACTTTCTGTGTTTGCTACTGTTATTATTGCTAACTTCTGTGTCCATGGGCCAGTCATCCATTCTAAACTTCAATTTTCTCTTCTGGAAAATTAAGTTAACTTGGGGTGTGGGAAATAGAATATGGTAGTGCAAAACAGAACAACAGTGCTGAGCTCCATGCTTGCACATGTAGGGTGCTCAGCAGATGTTAATTCCCTCTCCTCTTTTTCCTTGGGGATGGAGACTATTACTTTATCTTTGAATCCTCCATCTCTAGCATAAAGGCTCTGTTGCAAGGCCTCTGCCAGGCATTGATGGCAGGGATTATTCAGACACAGAGCCTGCCTCTCAAGAAGCTCCCAGGTTAAAAGTAAGAATGAAATAGCCACAGCAACCTTTAGATGAGAGGCATGGGCCAAGGCAATAGTTTTCTTTTTTTTTTTTTTTTTTTTATAGAGGCATGTTTATTTATTTATTAATTATATTTGTTTGTTTGTTTTGTTTATACATGCACTGGGTACAGTCAGAAGCGCGGGAGGGTGAGAGAATTCACCAGAGCCAGAGTGGGGAGCAGAGCAGCAGACTGAAGTACACTGCTGAGGGGAGCAGCGGGCGGCAGGAGAGGTCTGTGCACCATGTGGGATCCTCCTCCGGTGGCCGGGGAGCAGCCGGGGATCGAACCAGCGCCGCAGAGGCCGCGGGCAGCTTCGCAACCCAGCGCTCAACCGCTGAGCCACCGGGGAGGCCCCAAGGCAATAGTTTTCTATCATGCTCACAGTGACTCCAGGACTCCCCAGACATCTGGACCCTCTTCTGGTCATAAGAAAGGGAGCCTCCTCTCAACCTCCACCACCACAACTCCACTTCTAGTACCATCCATTCGATAAAGTTTCTGTAGCTTAAAACCACCAATCTGATAGAATAAACAAGGGTTCTTTTAACACTAAACTAGGTTTAGTTCTCCTTTTTCGTTTGTTACCTCATATGAATAACAGAAACAACAGTACTTACTAAGTGGCCTTATCCTCATAGCCCTAAGTGGACTGCTGACCTTTTCTTACCTAGCAGGAAGGCTGGGGATGACAGTGATTCCTGGTCCATCCCTCCTACAGATTTCATGCTGCTGACTGGTACCCAACGGAAGCAACTCATCTAAGGGCAGAGCTAGAACTCAGCTTATGAAGTGGAAGTGTGAGAGCACCCTCTCCACACTCAACACCCCCCCATCCTTTAAAATTAAAATCAGGGCCTCCCTGGCGGTACAGGCAGTTGAGTATGGCACTGTGAAGCTGTCGGCAGCCTCTGCAGTGCCAGTTTGATCCTCACCGGCCATGGAGATGCCCACATGGTGAGGCAGACCTCAGCAGTGTATTTCAACACTGTTTCTGCCTGTTTTGTTCCCCGCTCGGTCTCTGGTGAATCCTTTCACCCTCCCGCACATCTGGCCTATACCCCAGTTCTTATATAAATAAATAAATCTTTAAAAAAAATTAAATTAAAATCAAAATGACTTAATTTGTCTCAGGTTTGTAATATTATTTGAGGACTTTCAAAGGACATACTGTAACTTGCAATTGTGGCATTAATATAACATAATTCATTTTCTTCAAAATTCTTTGCAAGAGTTGCTAGAGAAGTTTCGAAGAGTCAAATAAAATGTGGCATGCGCTGCTAACAGTGCCTTTGCTTCACCAGCTTTCCAGGCAACCCTCATCTGAGTTCAACTGGTACATGGTAAAGAATCAAAATGGCACTACACTTACCATAGAGATCTGGATTGCTACGGATATACAACCTCACAAAGTTTTTTCCAGGTATTGGCAAAAGCGACCCTTTTATTCTGTCAAAAACCTGGAAAACAACACAGCAGTGATTCTACTAAAGATATTTTTTAAGTTTAATAAATTCAACTACTACAAAATTAAAACCCAGTTAAATCAGAGTTTTTATGATGATAATATTTTCAAAGGCTAATAGCCCTTTACTTCTGGATACCATATCCAGTCTATAAAGGCTTTCACATGATTTGATTGCTTAACCACAGACAAAACAGTCTCTACTACATGTATAAGGAAAGATGAAGTTGGCTTACAAACCTGGTAAGTATCTACATCAAAGAATGTCTGATAGTATTCAAATGTCCAGAAGGGGGAGCTTTTCTTCTGCCCAGCCAGTAACTGTCAGAGGTAAAATAAAATATAATGAATATCAAAGCAATTTCCTTATTCTAGCTACTCAGAGAGAAAGGGAGCTGATCTAAGGGAAAACCAAGATGTAAAAAAGAGCAAACTCCTTTTTTTTTTATTTTTATATTCCCCATACAATTGCAACACCCTTATTTTGACCCCAATCCCCCCCACCCATAGTGTGTCTCTGGTTCATAGTTGTTTGTTGATTTTGATTTTTTCTTTCTTATAATTATTCTTTTTCCTGGTCCCTTATTTAAGTTTTCTAGATTCCTGCTATGAGTGAGACCATCCGGTATTTTTCTTTTTCTTTCTGCCTTATTTCGCTGAGCATGATCCCTTCCAGCTCCATCCATGTTGCTGCAAATTGCATGTGTTTATCTTTTTTGAATGCTGAGTAATATTCCGGGATGTATATGTACCAAATCTTCTTGATCCAGTCATCTATTTTTGGGCATTTGGGTAGTTTCCAAAGCTTAGCTATTGTAAATAGCTGCTATAAACATAGGGGTGCAGGTGCTCTTTGGAATTAATGTTTCTGTATCCTTTGGGTAAATACCTAGGAGTGGAATTGCTGGATCATATGGAAGAAGAGCAAACTCCTTTGTATTCATCAATTGACTTGGCAATGGCCACGCCCAGCTAAGCCAGATATAAAACAACCATCACTTAGGAAGTCAACTCAAAAGGTTTCCAATCCCTCTCAGTCCTTCCACCAGGGGGTGGCTATGACAAATCACCAGACTCAGCCTAAATTCTCTTTAAAAAGTACAGCTAACAAGGTCTACCTCACAGGTTAATAGGAAGAATTAGATTAAATGTTTATGTGTCATGTACAGTAACATATATACATATCTATGCACAAACATATCTGTATAGAAGGCAAGTCAGTGTATCTTTTCTCTTCACACCCCTTTAAGATCCTTACTACTACGCCACCTGAATTCTCAAAATCTAACCAATTCATTCTAAAGAACCAAAAACTTAAAATATACTGACAAAGAGACAAAATTCCAATTTTGCAGGCACAGGTAAAGAGCAATGCCTGTCTCAAAGCACAGGCACCTGAAGGCAGATCCAGGCCTGTGCCAGGAGTCATGTCTGCCACCTTCTAATACAGGAAGACGACTCATATACAAATACAAAAGGTATGTGAGGCTCTTTACAGAGTAAGGGCAGGTGCTATAAGCAGACACTTTATTATAAAGGAAACAATTTTACAATTAAAAGCTGTCCAATAGTGGCAGCAGCTGCTTGACATGACTGTGTACAGTTACTACTGGGTGTATTCAAGCGCTATCTTTCTGACATCCCATGGACAGCATTGATATCTTGGAAGGAAAGTTGAAACAGGAATCTGATATTACAAAATGTTAAACATGTTTCATAAGCAAGGTTCAGGAATTCTACAACCCAATTCTCAGACATTAGGATAATAATGTAAGATTTTTCATGCATTTCTTCCTAAACTTTTATTTTTTTGCATAGAAGAACTGAGGTGTAGGTCAGAGGTACAGGGGGTGAAAGGATTACCCAAAGACAGAGTGGGGAGCAGAAGAGGCATATTTACTAAACTACACTGCTAAGGGGAGCAGTGGGCAAGACGAGAGAGAGGTCTGCCATACCACAAGTGGGTTAGCTCCCTGGCCAGGGATCCAACACGGCCATTGTGGTGGAAGCATTGAGATTTAACCTCTAGGTTACCAGGGAGGCCCTCTTTCTAAACTTTTGATGCCTGATGTTGCTCAGTGTGATGGTTAATTTCATGGATCAAATTGCCTGAGCCATGATGCCCAGATATTTGGTCAAACACTTTCTGATGTTTTTGTGAGGATGTTTTCAGATGAGTTTTCCATTTAAATTGGTGGATTTTTTTTTTTTAATTTTAGGATTCAGTTTTTTAATTCAGATGCTTCCAATTTTTTAAATTTAAATTTTATTTTTATATTCCCCATACAATTACAACCCCCTTATTTTGACCCCAACTCCTCCTTTCCCTGCCCCCCCCATCCCCCATAGAGTATCTCTGGTTCATAGTTGTTTGTTGATTTTGATATTTTCTTTCTTTCTTTTTTTTTTTTTTTAAGATTTATTTTATTTATTTATTTGTTTGTTTATTTATTTATTTATTTATTTATACAAGCACTGGGTACAGTCAGAAGCGCGGGAGGGTGAGAGAATTCACCAGAGCCAGAGCGGGGAGCAGAGCAGGCAGAAGGACCGAAGTACACTGCTGAGGGGAGCAGCGGGCGGCAGGAGAGGTCTGCGCGCCATGTGGGACCCTCCTCCGGTGGCCGGGGAGCAGCCGGGGATGGAACCGGCGCTGCAGAGGCTGTGCGCAGCTTCGCAGCCCAGCGCTCAACCGCTGCGCCACCGGGGAGGCCTGATATTTTCTTTCTTATAGTTATTCTTTTTCCTGGCCCCTTATTTAAGTTTTCTAGATTCCTGCTATGAGTGAGACCATCCGGTATTTTTCTTTTTCTTTCTGGCTTATTTCGCTGAGCATGATCCCTTCCAGCGCCATCCATGTTGCTGCACATTGCATGTGTTTATCTTTTTTGAATGCTGAGTAATATTCCGGGATGTATATGTACCAAATCTTCTTGATCCAGTCATCTATTTTTGGGCATTTGGGTTGTTTCCAAAGCTTAGCTATTGTAAATAGTGCTGCTATAAACATAGGGGTGCAGGTGCTCTTTGGAATTGATGTTTCTGTGTCCTTTGGGTAAATACCTAGGAGTGGAATTGCTGGATCATATGGAAGCTCTATGTTTAGTAGGTCAAGAAATCTCCATACTGGGCCTCCCCGGTGGCGCAGCGGTTGAGCGCTGGGTTGCAAAGCTGCCCGCAGCCTCTGCAACGCCGGTTCGATCCCCGGCTGCTCCCCGACCACCGGAGGAGGGTCCCACATGGCGCGCAGACCTCTCCTGCCGCCCGCTGCTCCCCTCAGCAGTGTACTTCGGTCCTTCTGCCTGCTCTGCTCCCCGCTCTGGCTCTGGTGAATTCTCTCACCCTCCCGCGCTTCTGACTGTACCCAGTACTTGTATAAATAAATAAAAATAAATCTTAAAAAAAAAAAGAAAAAGAAAAAGAAATCTCCATACAGCTCTCCATAGTGGTTGGACCAGTTTGCACTCCCAAAATTGGTGGATTTTTTGAGTAAAGCAGATTTCCCTCCAAAATGTGGGTGGGGCTCAGCTTATCAGGTGAAAGCCTGAACAAAACAAAAGCCTGACCTCCCCAAATAAGAGGGACTTCTCCAGGAGACTGTCTTTGGACTTCATCTGCTATATCAGCTTTCCCTGGTCCTTCAGCAGCATACCTCTGGATTCAAATTCCAACTCTTTCCTGAGTCTCCAGTCTGCCGGTCTCCTCCATCAGATTTTGGATGCAACAAACATCCAAAATTATAAGAACCAATTCTTTAAAGTAGAACTTTATCTATTTCTGCACACATCTGCTGGTCCTATTTCTCTAGAGAACTCTAAGTAATACATTTAGCACTATTAGTAATCTAATAATTGCTTCTGGATTCTCAAGGTATTAACCACATTAATAACCACTTAACATATATAATGTTGCCCCCCACAACAGCAAGTAACTTGAGACAAGTTACTTAAACTCTATGCCTCAGGTTTCTCATTTATGAGGGTAAGAATAGTTCTTGACACATAGAATTATTTTGAGCATTAAATGAGGTGATCCAAGTAAGGAACTTCAAATGTCAGTGGCAACTATAAAACACTGAATAATCACTAGCTATTGCGATGATAATAATGACATTATACTATATTACTCAACATACTATGTGCTTATATATCAGATGAGGAAATCTAGACTTAGGAAGGTAAAGAACCTTACCCAAGACCACACACCTGTTTTCATTGGCTGGAGCAGAATTCAAAAGCAGACTCCTAAAACTGAGGTCTTGTTACAATGTCTGGTATACAGTGATTTAATTTAGCATAAAATTTGGTACTTACTTTGATATTTCATAGAGTTGCACAAAGAGCCACTTATACCCAAGAGCTGCACTATTTTTATGAGCTTGTGAACCCAGCGCTATAACCTGGGTACTGATCTATTATCTAGTTTATTATAATCATGATTCTATTTATAAAACATGACTAGAAATACGATTTGTTGAAACATGGAAATAAATTTTGTGATCAAAAACAGCTACCTGGTATTTACCATCCAGAAACTGAGAAGGCTCCCTCAAACCTTCCCTCTTTCTTTCATCCCCTTTCCAACAAGTCCTACTGAGCTAGCCCCCTAAACATCTGTACCCAACTCTACTTCAGGCTTCATCATCTCTAGCTTAGACCACTTCAACAGTCTCCTACTTGGTCTTCTGGCCTCCAGTCTGGCCCCCTCCAATTCATACTGCCCATGATCACCATATCTCAAATACCTTTAAACATATCTGGCCACATTGTGTACAAATCTTTCAACAGCTTCCAAAAGTTTTCAGAATACAATTCACACTTACTGGGTTGAGTCCTTGCCTATCTGTGCAGCCTCATCTCCCAGATTCACCAATATTTTGTTCCCAACATACGTGAAGATGAGACAGGCTACCTGTACCATGTTTCTTCATGCCATAGTGACTTGGCCAAAAATGCTTCCCTTTGCTAGCCAATCCTTCCTCACTTCCTCTGGCTACTGCCTAGAGGAGTATCTTAATGTTAGTACATCCAGGAAGTCTTCCATAGCCCCCACTGCTCCTACAACCCTGGTTCCCCTCTACTGGTGTGCTTCCCAAGATGTTTTCCCCTACTTTCCCCAAATGCAGAGGCCACCTTTGAGTTTTTATGTAGCCACTGCTTGGCACTTTAGTTGGCACATTGGAGACAATGAATGAATGTATGAAGAATCTTTTTTTCTTTTTAAAATTAGAAGAAAAAAAGAACTATTTCAAGACAAATCCAAACCTCAGTTTTGTCAGAGTCATCATTTCCCAGCAATTCATCATCCTCTTCTCTCCCTGAGCTTCTTGCAGATCCTGGGGTTTCGCCAGGGTCCTCAATGCTTATTGTGGTGGCATCAGGGTTTGCTACTAAAGAAGTAGCTGTATCACCAAATTCTGAAATTGATTAGCGCACAAGGGCATTAGAGATCACCAACTGGAACTGCTAAACTTTTACATATAAATGGAAAAAGGCTCTAAAAAGAATCTCATCTTGAAAACAAACTGACTTAGAAAAATGATTACAGAAATAACAGAATTTGAAGTCAGATCTGGATTTTAGTCCTGGCTCAGCTTCTTACTAACTATATAAACCTAAGTGACTTAACTTCTATAAACTTCATTGTTCTTATCTATGCAATAGGGAGAATATTTACTTTAAAGAATTTTGCAAATGTTAGGATTATCACCTAAGTTAAGTCCTTACCAGAGTATCTGTCCCATAGCAAGTACCCAATCTAAACCTCTATTCTTTGATTCAAATGCAAAAAAAATTTTTTTTAAGATTTATTTATTTATGCATACAAAAACTGAGGTATAAGACAGAGCTGTGGGGGGGTGGCAGGATTCACCAGAAACAGAGTGGGGAGCAGAACAGGCAGATGTACTGAAATACACTGCTGAGGGGAGCAGCGGGTGAGTCAGGAGAGGTCTGCTGCACCATGTGGGTTGCTCCCTGGCCAGCCAGGGATAGGGATCCAACTTGTGCTGCAGAGGCTGCGGATAGCTTCATAGGTTGCATCTTAACCCCTTGTGCCACCATGGAGGCCCAAACTCAAAAAATTTTAATTTTTCCAGTAAGTCCTATGAAATCACTATAGAAAATATGGGGATAAAATTAAAGTAGAAACTATAGAATAAAAACCACTCAGTTCTACCACATAAAGGCAAACACCATTAATATCTGGTATATTTCCTTTTCTCTATATGGTTAAGATTCATGTCAGAGGTGGTCATTCATTCATGAAACAAGTATCTACTACATGCCTGTGATGTGCCAAGTACTGATTTGGGTTGTGATAATACTATATGGACAATTTGGTATCCTGCTCTGCCTACTTGGGATTATATAAAAATGATTTTTCCACATAAATGTCTTTTGCATTTACATGGCTACATAATATCCCATTATCTGAAAATTTGGAAAAAGGTACCTTAAGTTACACAATTATTCCAATGTTATTGGATATTTAGGGTGATTTCCACTTGCATTATTACAAATACTGTGAAGAGAATCTGTGGGGAGAAAGCTTTTTGGGTTATTGCCTTAAGATGGACATCTATCAGTATGATCACTAGGACAAAGGGTGCAAACCATTTTTAAGGCTTTTGAGCAACAGTGCTAAATTGCTTCCCCAAAGAACTTCACCTATTCACGTCCACCAGCAATGATGAGATTTCCTGTCTCTGGTCAGTCTGATAAGCTTTACTTGGCTGCCCTGAAATACAATTCAGTGCATCTCTGAACCTGAGAAGGACTAAAGAAAGGCACCATCACCACACTACAATCCTGCAACTAGCAGGATGGGGCTCTTGGACCACTGAGCCCAACCTTACTATCTAATCAGCTTTGGAGACAGTTTTTTAGAGAGAACTAAGAAGACTGAAATTAATTAGGTGGCTAATATATACCAATTACTCAAGCCTCAGACTCCAGTGTTTTAATTGCAAAAGGAGCAGAGGCTCTGGAATGAGATAGTCCTTTGATAAGTTAAGGCTCTGACACTTGGTGACCTTGGACAAATTACTCCTTGTCTCTGCATCTGTTTCAACTACAAAGTGTAGATAATATCTGTCTTACAAAGAAATGCTAAGGATATGAGATAATAATAGATAGCTACAACAACATTGCTATCATGTATTGGCTGGACAGGGTAAGGGCATTTTAAAAAAAGGGCACAACTTTGCCTGAAGGACACAAAGGAAGATATATTTAAGAATCAGATTGAAAACACAGTAGTTTACCTGAAGGAAGGGCATGCTAAGAGAAGGAAAGTCAGTGCCAACATACAAAGGCCTAAGAGGAATTCCATGAAGGATGATAACACATCTAGATGAGATTACGAAAGGCTTCTTGTAGAGGATGCCTTAGAATAGCCAAAGTAGTGGGGATGGCATCTCATGCAAAGGGAAAGGATGAGCAAGACCCAGAAGACAGAAAATGTATACCAAGTTTGAGGAACAGCAGACGGCATAGTTTGATCTGAATGTAGGACGTATGTACCTCCCACAAGATGACTACCCAGACTGTCTAGTCTGTATCAGTTATTCTTGTCCATCTCAGCAACTTGAGGTCAAGATTGGTGTGTTTCTTCTTTCTGTCATCAACATTTTCTGTTTGTATATTCTGGTCTGTCCTATCCTGTTTTGCTTCTTCTGTTCCTTTACCAATACAATTTCTTCCATTTGAAAGGTCCTGATGTCCTTTTTTACATTGAAAACTACCATTCTTCCTGGGAGTTAGCCTTCCATCATCCCGACAGCATCCTGTGTTATTTTCTAAAGAGCAAAGTCCATAACATGGCTTATAAAGTCCAGCCTGATGTGGCTCCTGTCTCTTCTCAAACCTCACCTTGTATTAGCATTCCCCATCATCTGTGCTCTGGTACATTGAATTTCAATTACTTGGGGGAAAAAAAAAAACAAAACAAATTTCCTTCCTCCCCAGGTACTTTGCACATGCTGTTCTCTACACTTGAACTTTCCCACACTGTTCTCAGATAAGATGGCCAAGGAAGGTCTCTCTATAAAGTGAGATTTGAACAGAGTGACAGCAAGTCATGGGGCTCTCTGGAGTACATCCAAAGAGAAAGATGGCACAAAAGCCCTAAACTGCGAATGTACTTAGTGTCTATGAGGAACAGTGATGAGGCCTATGCAGGTAAGGCAGAGAGAAAGAACTAAAGTAGCAAGAGATGAAACAGAGGCAGTTGAGGGCTGGATCATGCAGGATCTCCTAAGCACAGAAAAGGCCCTGGCTTTCACTCCTACTGAGAAGAGCCACTGGAAGATGTTGAAGGAATAACATAATCTGACTTAGTTTTAAAGGGTTGCTATGGTGGAGAGAAGACGGTGCCAGGTCAGGTGTTAAATGTATTTTGAAGATGGAGTGGACAGTATTTGCTAATGAAGGGATTTCTCACTAAACATCCTCACTCTTCCTCAGGTAGCAGTGAAAGAGCATAAGCTGTGAAGCCAGACTACTTGGGTTCAAACCCTACTTTACCACTTGCTAAACAATGTGACTTTTAGGCAAAATTACTTAATTTTTCTGTGGCTCAGTTTCCTCATGGGTAAAACAGGGAAAATAAAGTAACTATTTCCTAAATTGACATAGGATTAAATGAGTTAATATTTGTAAAGACTTAGAACAGTGCCTGACATATAGCTATAAACAAGTGTTACCAGGCAAATAAGCATTTGTGAATCTCTAGCCCAGATCAGACTCTGAGTTATGAGTGGTGAACTTTTCCTCCAACTCTTTCATAGTTTGCAGATACATATTTAAGTGATTATTTAGCAAATGAGTATCTCCCTCACAAGACTTGAAAATTTCATAAGGGAAGAAACTACTTTGTACACATCATGATAAATAGAACAATAGCTTGGCTCATAGCCCCACTCATGATATACGTATTAATTCAATGTAGGAATACCAGATCACATTTCTTCATAACTATCTTTTAAAACTTTGATCTACTCCAGTAGTGTAAAAACTTCTACCCTATCTTTTTATCTCCTGTAGCTAATACAGTACTAAGTACAAAGCAAGTTCTCAATATTTATTGAACTAAACCAGGCACTCTATACACATTTTCTGAATCACTGTACTAAATTTATGTTATCAATCTAAAGGGCTATTTGGCAAAAAAAGAACAGCTGATATGAGCAAACAGAAAAGCCTGGGTGACCAACATTCTTTTACCAAGCTATTTGAAACAAACTTCTTTAAAATATGTACCAACATAGCAACAAAAATCTGTTGCTGTCACTGCAGAAATACTAATCATAAAGACAAAGGTGGGGGGCCTCCCTGGTGTCACAAGGGGTTAAGCACCGCACTAAGAAGCAATCGCAGTCTCTGCAGCAAGGTTCGATACCCAGCTGGCCAGGGAGCAACCCATATGGTGCAGCAGACCTCTCCTGTCTAGCCCGCTGCTCCCCTCAGCAGTGTATTTCAGTCAATCTGCCTGTTCTGCTCCCTACTCTGTCTCTGGTGAGTCCTCTCACCCCCCCACCCCATCTCTGGTCTGTACCCCAGCTCTTGTATGCACAAATAAATAAATCTTTAAAGAAAAAAAAAAGACAAAGGTGGGCATCCAACTGATGTACCTTCAAACTGCAAGTCATCTACAGTTGCCATTCAGCCAGTGGGTCTTCTCCCAATTTTAGGAAGAAAATATGCAGAGGTCTAAAAAGGAAAAATAAATCAACTTAATAGGCTAGCAGGATAAAATATCTGCAACCAAATCTTATTTCAAAGTTAGAAATAGTATTGCTCCCCCCATTTTAGCGGGGCTTGGTAAGTTTATGTAAAGATAACCATTTAGCATGAAATATTAAAACCATTATTAAAAAAAAAACCAAAACCCTGGGAAAGCCCAATCTCACTGAGAACATAAGGACCAGGGGCAGCCTGGAGATGAAAGGATGAAAAAAGGAAGGCTGGGCTTTGAGAGGTGGCTATGAGGACAGTGAAGGGCAGCCCAGCCAGAGAACACAGGCTCTGGGGTCAGACAGACCTGGGTTTGATTCCCGATTCTGCCGCTTCTCGCTGTGTGACTGTGGGCTCCTCGGGGGCTCAGTTTCCTCATCTGTAAAATGGGTTCATAATGGTGCCTACTCACACGGTGTTGCGGGCCAGTAAATGAGGCAGTGAGTGCAAGACGCTTAGTGCACAGCCAAGCAATTAGTAGGCTGGGGACTCAGGAGTGCTGGGGACTCTGCGGCCGGGGGCCCCCCTGAGCCCCGGCTGGGCTGGGCAACAGCTGCCCGAGAAGCAGAAGCGGTGTTTTAGGAAGAGGGAGGAGGACCTGGGCCGCGGCGGCCCGGCGAGCAGGAGATCCCGTGGCCCCTCCGTCCCAGGTGGGCCCCGCAGACTCTGCCGCCTCACCTCGGGGGGGTTTGGCGTCTGGTCAGTCGGGGTAAAGGTCCGGCCTCAGAGGCTCTGCGTCGGTTCCGGTCCCTCCCGGTTGCCGGAAGCAGGATATCCGGGGGCGGGACTTTCCCGCCTCCTCCGTTCTAGCCCCGCCTCCTTAAAGAGACAGCAACACCCGGTGGCGCAGCTTGCAGAGTCCGCTCGCCCTGCAGCCTCTCCTGCGGGCGCGGCTCGGGATCCCAAAGAAACAGACCCCGGGGTGTGGTGGGAGAGCTGAGATTGTCCCTCCTCGTAGGCAATTCTGCAAAGTTTGGCTTGCTTTATTTATGCTTCTTTCTCATGGAAATATAAAATAGCGTAAGAAAGGACGATTGTGGAAAGAATAAGAAAGTCACACCTCCCTACCCCGCTTTCTTTTTTGGACATAAAACTTGAGTAACAAGTGACCGAGTGAATGAGTCCATTATTTTCTGGAGGGCAGGGCGATGTCTGTTCATACAGCACCCCTTAAATGGTAATGTTGTTCCTTCCCTCCAGCAACAGCCTGCCTTTTGCCCGCTGTTGGGGAAGGGGTGCTGTGGGGAGCTGCAGGGAGGGGTTCTCTTACCCACGTGTCATCCACGGCACTTGCCCGCCACCTCGAATAGTAGCAGGGGCTCCGGAAACCGTGGCACTGCTTGGTTGAACGTTTTCTACACCGCTTTCCAGATTGGGGCAGCGTCTCCTCCTCCTGCTTGGCAAACTGCCCATCGCCGGCTGCTTGCTCCCATAGTCCCCTGGGATTGCCTTTACCACGCAATTTTATTTGCCCTTCGTTGCCAAACTGAATGCTTTGAGCACAAGGATCAGCAATGATTCTGGTCTCTGGGTTCCCAGTACAGGGTCGGGCGCACAATATTGTTCCCTAAAGGCTAATTGGAGAGGGAGCAAGTCCTGGCTGGCTGAGCAGCGTAAGCCAAATTCAAAGTTCACACCAGAACCTGCGACTTTGACCTCACCGTATGGAGTGCTTGTAGTCAATTGGGAAGACTTTACATCTGACTAGTAATATCAATAATTGCATATTATATAAATCACATAAATTTATTTCAAACATGTACTGTAGCATGCATAAATATAATTAAATGTATGAAATAATATAATTACATAATTATGAAGTATATAATATACATATACAGGATCTCTGATCCTCAGAACAATCCTATAAGCTTAAGGTGATTATCCTCCTTTTATAAAGAGAAAGCTGAGGTTTAAATATGTGCTGGTACTTATGGTTAAATTTGCACCACTAATGAATCTCAGTTTGCAACTGTGGGTGTGCAAATGTATCAGACTGCTCTCATGTCCCATCTCAGATCTTCTGAAGCTTTGCTGCTGCCTATGTCACCCCACTGATGTTATTCCAGCTTTGCTATAACCCAAGTGAGTTTTATCTCACTTTTTCTCACTTTATCTCTAGCCCATTCTTAAGCTTCTCACCTTCTACATCAGAACTTCTGTCTCCATACCACAGGTTCATGGAACTGCTGGCACTACTCAACACCGGGACAGGTGCAACTCAGGAATTCAGGGACATTCATTGAGCAAATCTTTGACCAGTGGGGTCCACAACTGCTGAATACATGCTTCTCTCATTTCCCCTCAGATAATCTGACTTCCCTCAGGTATTTCATACAGCTTTCAAACTACCTTACCAGATCAAGCAACCAGATGCCTCTGGGAGGGGCCAGCTTTATAATGCATCTTTGCAATAGCTCTCCTTCCCTGCTTTACAACACTGATCCTTCACTCCTGGTCCTGGAATTCACTTTTGCATTTGAGGAACTTACACTCTAGCACTTGGTACCAAGAGTGACCCCAGAACACAGCCCTCAGATTGGGATTTTATTTTATTTTATTTTTTTAGGGTTAGAATTTTAGAACTGAAATGGTCACAGCCAGATGGCAACAACCACCCACTGCTAGTGCTAAGTGAGGGGTGGGAGGTGATAACATCTATATAGAGTGGCATCACAATTTGTGGTTGATTGGGATGAGGGAGAGGTAGAAGGTAAGGTGTTGGGTTATCTGGTGGTTATGGCACTGAAACAGTAAGAGAATAATGATAATTATAAGGATTATGGAGTGGCTTGGCTTTTCTTAATTTTATTGGAAACCTTGAAAAAACAAAATGATAGGGTTGGAATAGTCAACTGTCACCTTACTGACGCTTCATGAACGCTAGAGAGTGTCTATGGCAGCTTTGAAGGAAATTCTTACTTTTCTATATACTGGAGAGCATTGGACTGAAAACAGTCCCCAGATCTAAATGTAAGGGAGGCAAAGTTTCCAAGAAGACAGGCTGTTCAGCTCAACGAATGTCCCTAAACTCCTGAGTTGCACCTGTCCCAGTGTTGAGTGGTGCCAGCAGTGCAGGCTGTCAAAGTCAGTGCACTGATATGAAATGAATGGATTATTGAGTCCTGAGATGGAGATATTTGAGTGAAAAAACCCTTGGCCAACCCCCACCTCTAGATTCCCTTAAATCTTTCATAGTTGCAGAAGCACTCCCCTCCCCTTTTCTAAATGAGAGCAGACACTTCTTGTTTAGAGACTATAATGCTATCCTGCCCAGCATTGCTTCAGATCAAGGGATCAATTTAATTTAAAGAACTGGGAACAGGAACACATGACTAGATACATAGGCCTCTCTGGTCTCACCATGAAACCCAGTCACCAGGAAATCACCAGCTTAGTAGAACAGTGGACTGGTTTGTTACAGGCAGAGCTAAGGCTTCAGATTAGAGAAACACTCAGTGGCATTGGGCCTCTGTCCCCTAATATGAGACACATTTATCCATATACACTCACACAGCGTGTCTGTGTGTTTTTGTGCGTGCACTTGCATCTGCATGTGTATCCTATTGCATCTGTTTTTCTGGAAAACACTAACTTATCAAGGAAGGGGTGAAGGAATTTGTGCCTTTATCTTGCTATCATTCTTTTAAAACACGAAATTATGCATGTGTTTTCCTTTCCATTTGTATGTTTTATATATTATGCAAGATTTAAAAAAAGTCCTAAAAAACAGTATCTTGATAGGCTGCTGTGATCCCTGTCTTAGGGGAATACACCCACACTTTTATGAGTTTTACGTGCTAGAGTTTTACCAGGATCTCATTGAAGATCAGAGGAAAATCCCTTTGTGCTTCTGGCATGGGGATGGGAAAATAAATCATTTTAGAATATACCAGAACATTCTGTTCTTAACAAGGTCTGCCGTCAAGAGAAACTATTTTACCAGAGTCTAACACACTGAAGTTTTATCAGAGCCTAACCAACCTGGGGGAAGGAAATATCCAACTCCAATCCCCTCTAGCCATTGTGTTCCTCTTGAGACAGGGTGTGGAACTGAGAAATATTTGTGAATTTCATATTACTGGGACCCAGGCTCACTAAACATGGAGACTAATCAGAGGACTATAGAGTGGTTCCATAACCCTAAAAACTTATTAGCACATCATTTATGACCTATTTACTATAGTTCCTTTCACACAGTAACTAATTCCCGTATTCGAACAACAACAAAAAAATTCCAAGTCATACAAAACGACAAAAAACATTTTGGGGCCTCCCTGGTGGCACAAGGGGTTAAGTCTCACCACTATGAACCTATCCACAGCCACTGCAGCATGAGTTCAATCCCAGACCAGGGAGCTGACCCACATGGCACAACAGACCTCTCTTGTCTTGCCTGCTGCTCCCCTCAGCATTGCATTTCAGTAGATCTGCCTGTTCTGCTCCCTATTCTGTCTTTGGTGAATCCTCTCACCCCCAGCCTCCACACCTCTAGCCTACACCCCAGCTTTTGTATGCATAAGTAAAAAAACTTAAAAAACAACAATAAAAACAAAAAACAATTTGAAGAGATAGTAAGACTATACCAGAGTCAGATATGGTAGGAATATTAGAATTATTATACCAGATTTAAAAATAACTATGAATACTATGCTAAGGGCAGTAACAGAAAAAGTAGGCAACATACAATGACAGATAGATATTATAAGCAACATCTTCTGGAGCTGTTCTGTCCTTCTTTAAAGCTGATGTGCTAGCCGCTAAGATCAATACCTTTGTGGAGGTGGGAGCCAGCTTCCAGGTCAACTTTTTCTCCTCCCTAACCCTATCCAACATGCAGGGAATGTTTAGGCATGTAAATACCTCAGGGGAAGGTAAATAGAAAGCTTTGTGAGTGAACACCTCAGAGATTTAGTTAACATCAAAAGTGGCCTCAGCCAGGCCATTTCTCCTCTCTGGCTGCCAGTTTCCCTGCTTAAAAAAGAAAGTGATTTTAGACATTTTCCAGAACACTTGCCAACCCTGTGCTACCAGAAATCTTTCTGTTTCTCCAAACAGCCCTGCTCTCTCTACTTCCAGGCCTTTGGAGATGGGGTTCCTTCCGCCAGGACCACTCTCCCCACTTGCCTGGCTTACTGTTCACTATTCAGCTTTCTTGTTTCCATATAGAATCACTTCCTTGGGGAGTCTTTTTGACCTCTCTGCTCCTTTTCCATGCCCCAAGTCTACTTTAAGAACATCTACACTAAATGATAATTTTCTGTTTTGTGTCCCTTCCCTCTCTACTATAATTCCCCTGAGAGCCCAGTACTAAGGGAATCTTTTTTTTTTTTAAGATTTATTTATGTACACAAGAACTGGGGTACAGTCCAAAGGCGGGGGGGGGGGTGAGAGGATTCAGCAGAGACAGAGTGGGGAACAGAACAGGCAGACTGACTGAAATACTTTGCTGAAGGGAGCAGTGGGCAAGACAGGAGAGGTTTGCTGTGCCATGTGGTTATCTCCCTGGCCAGGATGGAACTGGTGCTGCAGAGGCTGTGGATAGCTTCACAGTGCTGTGCTTAATTAACCCCTTGTGCCAGCAGGGAGGCCCTAAGGGGAATCTTGAGCCCCAGATTTCCTTGGGGATGGCCCTAACTCCATCTAGGGCTAGGAAAATTCCAGATTCAAA